GTAAATCTCCATTTCCTGCACCACTGGGAGTGCAAACTCCCAGATATAATCTAATGTGTCTTTTATCCCTCTGGAAGGATGAGGTTTTATTTACAGATCTCCACACCACTGTTGCTGAGATTGGTGTACTTGTATACTTAGTGGATATTTGTGCTTAAGTGAGGCAATTTTTATAGTCACATTAATCTGTTTGGGGGAGACTGGAGGATTTGTGCAAGATCCTGCTGAAGGTGGATGAATCCCAGCATCCAGTGGCTACAACTCTGTCTTGTCCTTCCCTCATTTCCACCCATACTACTTCACTCTTAGGCTTTTCTCAGTTTCAGCACTACCTTTCTTCCCTGTCTGCATCAGATTTCCATGTGTGTTTCTATTTCTGTGTCACCTTTAATATTTTTGTAGTAGTTCTTTTCACTGACTTGGATCTCCCCTGTTTCAACTCCTTCTCTCCATGCTCCTTTTCTTGGACCTATTCTTGTCTCCATTGGTCTAGGATTGAAATGATGCCTTGATTTTTTCAAGAGGTTTTGCTTTCTTTAGCCCAATATGGTAAAAAAATCCACTGAATAGTCTCTTGAGCAGGTTCAGATCTTGCCATCTCTAGGTTCACATACAGCACCTAAATGTGCAGTGAATGGGATCCTAGTGATGCGAGAAGGTGATGGGATGTGTCTTCATAGTGCTTGATCTGTGGTGACAGCATCCTCTAATTCTTTCTTCATTAGCTGTGAGATGTTCAAGACTATTGTCCCTGGGGAGTTAAGTGTCCCCACAGGAAGGGACTACTTTGAGAACTGAATGTCTTAAACGATGCACAGGATTTATTTCTTCCTCATCCCACACCTTCCCTGATGAGTGTAGCTTGTTTAGGACAAGGTTTTTCTTTTTGTTTTTTTTTCTTTGGAAGATCAGTGAGCCTGGTCAGCAGGACCAATCTCTGGTCCTTAGGACACAGTAAGCTCTTTTTGTTGCTCAACCTCCACAGTCTCAGGGTTATCCTCCCCACAGAAATCTAGACTATTTCCTGGAGCCAAGATGACAGGAGGAGACCAGGACAGGAGAGTGCTCATATGCAGGGCCTGTGACATCAGGAAGCTGTGACTTGCTGTCACATGGGGGACTTAAGGAATGGGAAATGTCCTGACTGGGGAGTCCTGGCCCTACCGTGCAGGTAACCTGGCGGGACAGCAGCCCTGCAGGTGCTTGTACGAGGTGATGTGAGCTCAGCTTCACCTTCTTCCTCTGTGTTGCTGAAGTCAGGGCCTTCAGCCTCATCCCAGACCAGGCTGATAACTCCTGGGTTGTGGACTACAGTGGGGTGGTCAAGGTCCTTCTGCTGCTCTTCATTTTTAATGAGAAATCATTTCCTTGTCAAGTCTGGCACAGACTTCACACAAAATTACTGGTTTTGGTGGACCATCAGTTATCAGCAAAGTAATTTAAACCATTCTCTGATAGCTCCATCCTGGATGCCTTCAGATTCATGCTGGTCAAAATGTGAGAAGGAAAGATAAATAAATGCTGGAGCTAACTAGTGAAATGGGAACAATGGGCAGTAAAGTGTGGTACTACCACAAGGAAAGTGATCGAAGCCTTAGAAAGCCCTGGTTTTAAAATCTCAGCTGATCCCCTGCATTCAGCATTAGGGTTGATAAACTTCTCTTTGCCTAAAGCCACATTTGTTTTAGATTGAATACTTTCCATATGTCTCTCTGGCTGGGTGGTTCCTTTTGTATCCTTTGTCCCTTGTGACTTTCTATTTTAATTCCAGTTGGAAGCTGCAGCTTTGACTGGGGAAGCAGAGCTGATGGGCTGCAGTGTTTCTCCTGGCCACCCCGGGCCAGCGGGCTCTCAGTGTTCCATGACATAACAGGACACTGAGAGGAAACCTGAATGGCGTGCTTGCACCACAGCCCAGCAAGCCGCAGGCACCCAAGAGAGCATGGCAGGTCAAGGGGATGTGCTACTCCCCTCTGGCCAGGGATGAGCTGCTCAGGAGAGATGTTGAGGATCTGGGGAGGTGGTGGCTACTTGAAGCAGGTGGGCTACAAGGAGAGACTGTGGGAGCAGGGCTGGCCCAGTCTGACAAACAGGAGGGATAGGGTGACATCCCACAGCAGCCAACTGCTACTTGATTGGGAGCTACAAGGAAACCACTTCTTGGTGGTGGCAGGCCACAAGTTGCTGTTTGGGAGGTTTGGGTTGGACATTAGGAAAATATATCAGAAACAGTGTGGCCAGCAGGACTAGGGAAGTAATCATTGCCCTGTACTTGGCACTGGTGAGGCTGCACCTCAAATACTGTGTTCAGTTTTGAGCCCCTCACTACAAAAAGGACATAGAGGTGCTGGAGGGTGTCCAAAGAAGGGCAACAAATCTGGTGAGGGGTCTAGAGCACAAGTCTTAGGAGGAGCAGCTGAGGGAACTGGGGTTGTTTAGCCTGGAGAAAAGGAGGCTGAAGGGAGACCTTATCACTCTCTATAACTACCTGGAAGGAGGTTGTAGTGAGGTGGGTGTTGGTCTTTTCTCCCAAGTAACAAGCAGTAGGACAAGAGGAAATGGCCTCATGTTGTGCTAGGGAAGGTTTAGACTGGGTATTTGGAACAATTTCTTCACCAAAAGGATTGTCAAGCATTGGAACAAGCTGCCTAGTGAAGTGGTTGAGTCATCATCCCTGGAGGTATTTAAAAGTTGTGTAGCTGTGGTGGTGCTTAGGGTTGTGGTTTAGTGGTGGACTTGGCAGTGTTAGGTTAACAGTTGTACTCAATGATCTTAAAGGTCTTTTCAATATAAATGATTATGTGATTCTATGATAAAAGCTTTCCCCCTAGGCAGCTGGCGCAGCATAGGAGCACGTCCGTCCGCAAGGGGGGCTGTGCCATCTCCGTCCTGAGAGGTTTTGAAGACTGAGCTAGGGGAAACCAACGCTGGCCTCACACAGTGTTGGTAATAGTTTCTTTCTGAACAGAAGGTTGAGAAGAGATGTGCAGGGGTCCCTTCCAACTTGAGTTTTGCCCTCTTTCAGTTCTCCATGGTGGTGGTGTGAATGAAGGCTGTGTGCCTACGTGATCAGTGACTAACGGGCTTTTGAAATCTGTGTCGAGCAGCTGCTCAGGAGAGAGCAAGAAAAAGAAACGGTGTGGGAACAGGTGGGGTTTTTTAATAGAGTGCATGACTGAGAACATTCCTTGAAAAGTGGTCAGAAAGCCTCATGAAAGCAACCATATTTATTGTGTAGCAAAAAGTATTTATTGTTTGTTAAACACTTAGGACCAGATCACTACTGTGGTCCAGCTAGTATACACTGCTCTGGCAACATAAAGTGTCTGTAAAACCAGCCTAATTGGCTGATTAATCTGGGTTTATAACTTCTTTGTTTTGCTGGGCTGGTGAGGAACAGCCAGAAGAGAGAAGCTGCTGAAGTCCAAGTGTTTAAACTGATGATCTGTCTCTGTGTAGGCAAAACAGAAAGGCAGGGTTTACCATGCTGAGCTGTTGCCCCGTGTTTCAGTAGAAAAGTAGAGTTCCCTGGGAGTGTGCAGTTCTCTGCATGTTTTACCCCTCATCAGCACTGAAACCTTGCATTTCTCAGTGGGATTTCAAGAGAGGCTTAGCAAACAGCTTTGAGAGTTGCTACGATCCTTTCCAAAGGGTAATTTGATAGAAAAAATCTTTGTTGGGAGCATGTAAGAAGATGCAGCCTTGTCAGCAGATCAAGACCCGTGAGCACTTCAGTTATAGGAGGTGACACTGAGCAGAAATACTGGAAAAGGTCCTGCTTTTGGTGTATATAGGGACATGCAGACATCAATACAGACTTAAAGTAACATGTTTAAGCGCTGTCATGAATAAATATGAGCTCTCGAAGTGTTGCTGGAAAGAGGATCTCACTACTGTTTTGACAGGGTACTTTGGTGCATTGTTTTTTGTTGTCTGTCCAGGTTCCTGTCCCAGTCTCTTGTTCCCTTAACACTGCTGTGATTGCAATGACTGGCTTAGCTGGCAAGTGAGAGGGTTTGAATACAGCGTGTGGCTTCTGTGCTGGCAGGTTTATGCAACCTTGTGCTTGGGGGAATGGCATTGCTAGAAGAGACTGAGAGAGTCCTGCTTTGAATGTGAAATGTAAAAGATAAGAGGAAAAAAATCACTAGAGGTGTGAGATATCTCAGTCCTGGTTGGTGCTGCCAGCACTTTCCTTCCTGCTGTCTGCTCTGCTTGCAGTCTGCACAGTAGCATGGTGCGGGTCATATGCAATGGAGAACGCTACAAAAAGTGGGGATGCCATTCAGAGCAGCAAAACTGATTGCTTGAGTAATCCTTTTATCAGTGCCACTTCTTAAAAGAATGCTGCCAACTTGCGAGCAAGTGTAAAAATAAATGACTTGCATAAGGTACCTATTACAGTGCTAGATGCTCAAGCGTTAGTATAAAGGGAGTTTGGGGAGTCGATGAAGCATGTGCAAAACAGACCTGTTAAATGCGGGGCTGTCAGAGAACAGAACTGTTAGTGATGGGTTTAGGAGAGGAGAACCTGCTTTTAGTGTGGATTGCTTTCTAAAAGAAAGTTTAAAAAGAGTGAAAAAGTTCTGTGCTTCATTTTACACTGACCTTTAGCACTTGACAGAGATATAATGTACTGGTGTGCCTGACTAGGGAAAGGGGATTTTAAAAAGAAAAAAGGAAAAGATTAAACAGGAAAGCTACCCCAGTTTCTGGCAGGAGTCCTTGTATTACGATATGTTTTCACTTTCAGTGTCTTGCAACCATCTGTCTGGAGAGCCTGGGAAAAGATCCTATTGAGTATGTACATCCTGCCTGGAAAACTTCTTGTTACTGCAGTTGAGTTTTATAGCAAAATTAAAAAATGATAAAATTATGCCCTTTATTCTGATGTTATTTAATAGATGTGCTTGCAACAGACATATGTGGGCTGCTATACATGTCATGTGCTTCATAATAACTGCGATGTGTGTGTTTGCTTATTTTTTGAAGAGAAGGACATGCCAAACAGACCTTTGAGAGTGCGCGCCCAGTCTCCAGATGGCAAGTTATCTTTTCGGTGGAAGCCACCTTATGGAGCAGGCTTCAGGGGTCCACGCAGCAGATCCCAAGGTTACCTCCGTGGGTACGGAGAGAGCAGCCGAAGGATGAGCTATGCTTCACTCCTGCAAGAGCGACAAAACCAGGAAGCAAGAAAACTAGGTGAGTCAGAATTCCCTGATAGCATCTAGCTGAGCTAGCATACTTCTGTAATCCCCTGCAGCTGCTAGGTGATCACAGATCACATGTTGTTGTAGCCATCAAAATGACTTCTTCCTATAAATTGAAATACTCACTATAATTGCATTCTGAACACGTTCTTAACAGAAAAATATGATGACAAGGGTAGAAGGTGTAGCAAATTTGATGCTGCTTAAAGAGACACCATGTGCAAGTTATTCATTAATAGCAGAGGGAAGGGCTGGGGAGGAGAGCCGTAGCTCAGATTCTCCTTACATGCAGTGGGACCACTCTGAAATCCATTGTTTCTTGTCCTCTTCTTACACTTTGTGTCCCTATGTTACTTCAGGCCAGTGGAGAAGAAAATAATGCTTTAATTAAATGTATCCATGCTTACCATTAAAACTGTTTCATGGGCTCCATAGCAGAGTGTTACACTTGGGTGCCCATGTTCTCTCCAATTCCTTCATGAGGTCCTGGTCACTAAGGGCTCCTGCGACAGTCAAGTTGGCCTCTTCTGTGCCCGGCACCCTGCTGTGCTGTGATGGTTTGCACTCATGCCCTAGCTCACCTGCCCTTGATTTAGAGGATTTCCTATCTAATGGTATCAGTGGAGTTTGCAACGTTTTATGTCCCCAGTGGCTGAGCATCTCCCTTTGCACTATTTGTGTCACTTGCCTGTGTTGTGGCTGACCTACCTCTGTCCTGCTGCCGGAGCTCCTCTTGCCTGAGTGGGTGCTAGGCCTGCACTTACAAGCCTTACTTTGCTCCTGGGTTGTTCCAGTGCATTTGCTCGAGGTTAGGCTTCTTTCTCAAAATCTATCCTATAGGCTGGAAGCTCGTCCCACAGATAGTTTGGTCTTGGCTTACAGAACGAGTGATGATTCCAAAATTACACATCTGCCTGAATTCCTGGCTTTGCAATGTCAATGTCTATTTCCCCTTCTGCTTTGTGGGGTTTGTATTAAACACACATCTTTATCTATGTTTCTCCAAAGAGAGGGAACTCCTCAGTCACCTTTCTCAGTCATTCCTCCTTTTCCTAACAGGAATCTCATACTAACTTCTCATCCCTTCTCTAGTATTCACTTTTTTGTCTTTCTATGCACCACTTATGGAGGTGCCAAGACACTCTGATGTCTATGCCAAGGTAACAGGGCCAAAATATATACGTGTGGGAGATGTTCTGCTGTTTGTTTGATGCACAGCATGTACCACTGCTCTGCAGGTTGAGAACCTGTCCAGGCAGTACAGAAGTCAATGGAAATCTTGTCATGGACTTAGTGGGAGCTCAGTAATGAACTTAATCTTGATGAGAAATACTATATAACATGGTTAGGAGCACCTACTACTTGTTTTAATTACTTTTATACTATTTTTTTTTAAAAAGGGAGAACAAATGTTATTTAAATAATCAAATTATCAGATTAACTCAGTCTTAGAATATAGGACTTTGTCCAACTTTACCCTTCTTACTGCATGCATATTGAACTGACATAAATGCTGTGACTATAAATAAATTTCAGGTGAGCTTCTCCTTTTGTATCTCAAAAAAGAATAAAACAGAATTCTGCCTGATAAAGACTAAAATTTTTTTTCAGTGAAAAAAGTTACAGGAAAGCCTCTGTTTTTTCTCTGATTATACAGCCTCTGAGCCAGTTCATGTGGTTTCGCTGCCATCAAGGAGCTCCCAAGGACGGAGCCAACCTGTCTATAGGTCATCTTTAACTAAAAGAAAAGTGACAGGTATGTTTCTTTCATATTTGTTGTCAATTCATGGAGACATTTGAATGCATTGAGGTAGCTTTGTGACTTTTTAGACTGCAAGTCTTCTGGTGCTGGAGCTGCTAGGTTTTTTGCTGTGCATTAAAGAGCTTGGTGGATGTCTCCAGTTGCTTCTGTAATTCAAGCAGGATTAATAAATGATACAACTCTGCGATATGAGTTGGTTGGGTTTCTGTTGTTGTTTTTTTTGTTTTGTTTTTCTTAATCTCCTCCTCTCTAGCTACTGGCAAATGTTATGCACTGCAAGAAGACTTAATTAAATCAAAGCCAGAACCTCCACAATAGTATGCCTTCTTGTCAGATCTTCACCCCCTTTTTTGAAGGGTTGATTTCCAGAAGCCTAAACCTGGTCAGCAAAAGTTTTCACTTTTTTTTGGGGGGGAAAGAAGGCATTACATACTGCTTCCAAGGTTAAAAAGGATGAGAGAGATTCTGAGTCATCTCCATGCCAGCGCTGCTTTCTCTCCCCCTCGCATTGCGATGAAAATGCTGTGGGGGTGACAGAGTGTTTTAGATATTTTGATGGTGATAGAGAACACCTTTGTCAGAACTGACAACTATGGTGTATTGAAATCCCACATCGCACCTTTTCTGGTGAGGTGATGTCATCCAGTTCTCACGCTCACTCTCTTTCTTCGGGTGCTCCCATTGCAAAACTTTGTGAATATGTCCCCTAAGCCACTTGTGGGTAGTAGATGGGTCCTCTCAGCCATTTTTTGTGCAGTAGCTGTTTGGCTTGGAAAACCTGGAATTGTCTGAGAACACTCTGCATTAGAAACCTGTTTGGAAAAAGTGAAATGTGCTTCCCTGCTGTTTGCCTTTTGTGGGGGCAGTGCTCAGTTTTGGGGTAACATGCCACCTGCTGAAGAGAAGGGCAGTCTTTCCCTGGACTTAGTCATACATGACTAAGGTCCCTGAAGAATGAAATTGTACTCCAGAGTTTACTGGCCTCTTTCTTTTCCTAAGACATTGATTTTTTTCCAGTGTTACTCTTCTGTAAAACTTGGGCTGGAAAGTTGCACCTTGTGCATTCTGTGCCTCTGGGAGACAGTAATAGTTGCTGTGACACTAATAGGAAAAGTAAATTCTTCATGAGGCTGTAGGTAGACTACACTGGAAAAACTCTGATGGACAGATAGAAAAAAGAGCCTCTTCAAAATTAAAAACCTCAAAAAATCAAATTGGTTTAACTTAATTTTAAAGTTTTGTAAATGATTTGCAAAAGATATTCTGATACGTCAAAACAGCCAACTTCAATGATTTTATTTTTTTCTTTCATTTTTAAAAAAATTTTTGTCTACCATAAAAAATGAAGAGCTGAATTCAAACAACCTGTTTGAAGCACTCAAAAATGTAAAATATGCAGGAATTCATTATGTGAAGAATTTTTGATAGTCCTTGATTTTATTGCCTTTCAAAATGAAACCAAATTTTGAAATCTCAAAATTTTTCATAAGGCAAAATTTCTGCTCACCAGGCAGCTCTAGCAGTGAATTTGCCAGAGACAGTGGATGTCGGTATGTTAATAAGACATTTGCTGTAGGTGACAGTTTGGGGACTGATAGAATAGTGAAGGGCTGTAGAATATATTAGTACTCTGGTCCTGTAAGCAAATACCAAAAGAAATTATGTTTCCGTGGATTACCATCAGTAATCAATGTACTTGGTTTTCCACTTCCACTGTATTTGTTATTCATCTTTGCTGTGTGCACGTTATAACATCAGTTGAAGACAGTTACTGTTTTTTATGAGAACTCCGATGTTGTTATTGATATGCTATTTTGTTTTGCTGTTTCAGAGGAGGAAGAGGTGGAGGTGGCACAAGACATAACTGTTCGAGTTATGTCCTCTCAATCTGTGCTCGTTGCTTGGACAGACCCACTGTATGAAAAACAGAAGGTTGCAGCGAATAGGTAATTAGCCCTGTTTTCTTTTCTGAATGCATGCTGAAGGTGAACTGCTGACAATGCACTGCTGATGGCTTTTGCTTTATTTAATTACAGCTGGCTATGAGAATAATTGAATTTGCATATCCTCCCTATAACAATGTCTGGTAGGGGATGCTTCAGAGAAGTTAGAAACCTGATGTGGGTGGATGTGGGGTGATGTACCCTCCTTGATTCCCCGTGCCCTGGTCTCCAGTATTTAGAGGTCTATGTAAGTGCTGGATGACTGGGCTTAGGATCCCTTCTGAAATGTCATCACCATCAGCTAGGGATATTTCCCTATTCAAATGCTGGTATATCACCACGGTCAGAAAATCTCCATGCATGCATGGGAAAAGATGGGATGGGGGACACAGAACAAACAGCCCACAGAGGTGAGGTGTTGAGTTGGGTTGTCAGAGAAGACTACAGCTTTGAGATGACCCTATGGCAGGTGAAGGAAGCATCACTGCAGTGGGAAAGACGCCCATCAGTGCCCCTGCATCAGCATGCCGCAGCAGTTGGAGACCAAAACAAACACAGAAACTGGCTGGAAACTGCCAAAGGTTTGAAAGTGCTGGATTCTGTTGCTCAGCCTGGGAACATTGAAGGGCTATGCAACCACACACTAAAACACCCCGAGGGGCACAGCAGGAGAAGTGGTAATTTTAGATGCTTTCAGTTTATGCAGTTATCTGAGCAGACGTGTGGGAACCAAGCTGCTGGTGCTGCTCTGGGAGTGAGGAGCTCCCAGCCATCCGGCCTCACTCATGGCCATGAGGCGGTGAGATGGTGGTGTGGAGCCCCCTGGGATGCCTGGCTTGTTTCGAAAAGCCCTGTGGCTTCCCCCCGGGGCAGGGAGTGTTTTGAGTAAGAGGCTGAAAAGAGTGGTCTGTCCCTTGGGGTGGAAGCAATCAGACTCGGTTAGAGGAAGGCACAAATGTTTGCTTAAAAGATGTTGGCTCTTGGTGATGGTGGTACTTTGTTGTTTGCATTTGGGGAGAGCAGCCCTGTTCCTCTCTGGTTCTGCTAATGCTAGGTTTTGACATCTGAATTTTTTATCTTTGTGTGTTTCTGATCCCAGGCAATACAATGTTCGCTATCGGGAAAAGGGAGAATCAGCAAGGTGGGATTACAAGCAGGTGTCCAACCGACGGGCGCTGGTGGAGAATCTGGTGCCAGACACCATGTACGAGTTTGCTGTCCAAATCTTGGAGGGAGAAAAGGAAGGCAAATGGAGCGTGTCTGTTTACCAACGGACCCCAGAGGCAGGTATGTGTTCAAAACATCCTTGACATAACACGACTTTTACAGTTTGGTCTGTGAAATAAGGTTGACTTGAGGGAAATCCAGAATAAGTGGTTGCCTGGGGCAGCAGAGGGTCGGTAATGTAGGAAAATCCTCTGTGCTGCTGCCTTGCCTCCCTGCAGCAGTGCTCTGGGACCTGCTCTTGTGGTACAAGAACAGCTGCTCTTGTGGCATGGTGAGAACAGGGGGAGATGGTTTGGGTATTTCTGGGGGATGGGTCAGTACCTTGAACCCATGCAGCTGGGTGTGCCCCTTGCTTTGGGAGGAGCAGCCTGCCTGCTGTTCTTCTCTGTGGACAGCAAATTTAAATTCTGCCTTCACCACTGAGAATCTCTGGGGCTCCTTTGATACAGGGAAGTGGTGCATAACAACTGAATTACCATGTCGTTCCAGCTAAACCACAGCAGCAGTCTCATGCAGACAGCCTGTTCCTAAAATTACAGAACAAAATTTCACCACAGGAGTCTAATAGAGAGATGTAATTTAGGCACACATGGACCTGAGCCGTATGTGCTCTTCACATTTATCTTTGAAAAGGCTGTATAGGAATTTCTGCTGTGAGAAGAAGAACCAAAAGGTGCATGCTAAGTCAGCTGTTTTCACTTGCCTCTTCTACCTATGGCTGTTTCACAGCTCCTGCCAGTGCACCTGAAAATTTGGATGTTTGGCCACTAAAGGGGAAGCCAACCTCCGTAGCAGCATCTTGGGATGCTCTCCCAGAGAGTGAAGGAAAAGTCAAAGGTAAGTCACCACTGTCAGTTTTTAACCTCATCAAAGAGCTGGTCTTCTTGAGACTAGACGGCCACTCCACAGCAAGCTGGAACCACTGACTGTGCTGGGATTTTTTCTCTTGTTAATGGCTTATACCCAATCAAGATTTTCTTGTTTCCAGCCCAGCATCTCCACACCGCCACTGGGAAGCCATCATCACCATGCACCTGGGATGTCGCAGAGCTTCCTGGGGTGTCACATGTGCACGCTTATCTCTTCTTCTGTTAATGAGCAGGTGTAAACAGAACTCAGGAAGGAAGTTTCCCAAAGGATTTGTAACAATTAGGTGAAGAAGAAGTTGGTTAGTTGCCAAGAAAGCGCGTGGGTTTATGTTGTGCTTTATTTCTAGTTTATCACGGAAGGAAAACCTCATCTTAAGAAGCAAGTGCAAATAGTGATTTCAACAGATATCACACATAAGCCTTGTGTACTGCAGTATTATTGTATGTGGTCCTAAAGCTAACTTGTCAGTGGCTACTTATTTGCATAGGACTTTAAAAAAAAGCTTTATTGGATTTTTTTTTTCCTTTTTCCCCCTAAAAATGAACTGGCTGATTTTTTTGGCGGCTCTCATTCTCCAGCGGTTGATGGGATTGTGTTCTCAAATTACAGAAGTTTCTGGAGGTGCCTTATCAGCACTATAGCATCTCAGAATTTAAAAAAACCCCTTTGGCCTGGAGGGAAGTGCACGGTGTCTGCATACAAGACCTACTTTATGTGTTCTTCAGGCAGTGGTAGAATTCCTTCCTCTTTGAAGTCAGTGGGAGTCTTGCCAATTTCTTCAATGGAGCTGCAATTGTGTCCAAGAACTATTATTTCATAAAGTAGGGTCATGCAGGGACATTATCTGAAATTTCAAATCTGCTCCTAATTTTGAGCAGTCTGTAGCCCTTTGTCCATTTTTGTCTGCTGATCTTTAGATTGTTCATCCAAGGCAATAATTCTAAAGATACCTGATATTCAAGGGCTGAACACTTATATGTGTCTCATATATCATTGTTTTTCTTGAGTATGAAGTATTACAGGAGAGGTTTTATTTTTAAACTAAATAAATGACAAAAATTTCATTTATACTGGCTAAGTGAAATCACTGAATTAGCACTTCATAGTTGTTTTCATGGCATATGGTAATCAGGAATTTTTGTCTTTTAGTCCTTTTGTTTTTCAACCCTGTCTTTTTATATATTTATACCACATATTAAAGTAATGGGAGAAAATGCCCTCTAGTAGTCTTTTGAGAGTTACCAGAAGTTACACCAGTGCCTCTGCTATTAAAGCAATTCCTGTATATCTTAAAACAAACAAAAAATCCTAATCCAAAGCTTATCATGCCTTCTAATAAATTGATTTTTGTTTTCAACTGAGTATTAAATGCATTTGCATATAAAATATTGATTTTTTTTTCCTCAATTTTGATCATCCATCCATGGCTTATTTCTTAACACAATTAATATGGGCTCATTTTCAGAAAAAAAAAAAAAATCATGTTTTTAAAAGTATTACTATGTTCTAGAATTTTCCCATTGTGGCACTGTGACTCCTCAAGTGTTATTGTGTTTCTTTGTGTAGAGAGGCAAAACTGTCAGCCTTTGGAATTTTATTTTCAAAACCCTGTTTTGGTCCAATACCTGTGCCTCTTACAGAGGATTGAAAAGAAAAGGAAGCCTGTGCAAGGCCGAAATCTTACCTGTACTCCTTGGGAGTTTAATGGGAAGACTCCTCTTCATGGCTACGATTATTCCTATAGGGGTGGAATTTCTCTCAATACAAAAAGCTAATACGAAGCACAGGTACCACAGTAATCCTAAACTGGAAAGTGAGGGCAGGACAAGTTTCTTAAGTGGCAATATGACCTTGCTTTGCTTTCTCGGCAGTGGTGTTTAGCCCTGGCTATAGTTAAGCACAGTGTATTAGATTTTGATTTTGTTGGACAGGAGTGCTATTGCTGCCATTTGGCAATATACCGTGCTGTTATTTCCTGGTAGAAGTATCTTTTCTGAATAAGAACCTCAGTCATCCAGGCATGAATTTTACCTACTGGCCTGTAGATTACAGCTAAAACCCCTCTAAGCAAAGACTCAGCTGGAAACACTTATATTTGACTGCAGTAATATTGTTTCCAAGATTAAAGTAAGTGACTTGGTGTTTTCATGGGGATGTCCCTGCTGAGGAATGAGTATATGGCCTTTGGAGCTGATAGACTTTCACCACGGTGGACTGTCAGAACTGCTTTTGCATGACTAGGGTCAAAAAGTACAGTACAATTATAGCCGTGTCAAGTCTCTGTTGGAAATGTAAGATAAGAAATTAATTAATAGTAATGAACAGTGTCACCTGAATTTAATACTAATGTCTTGAATGATAATGATGCGAATACACCATTTTATGCTTCCAAATAATTTCTGTGTGAAAGAAAGTTTTTTAACATTCTTATTTTCTGTGGACATAGCTACAGTCAGCAACACAATTGTGTGTTGTCCACCATTATGAGCAAGTTATGTTTTGGAATAATATTCTTGGGTTCATGTGTTGTTGATAGCAAATCTGATAGCTAATCAGTAAGTTCAAAATATCTCTTTCTCTTGGGAAGTCTAAAATCTGCTCATGGTTCATCAGCTGTAACCACACAGGTATTCTGATAATAGCAATCCTCCCTACCTAACATTTTGCAGTCTTTCAGACTAGTTTTCCACAAGTAATAGGACAGTACATATTTTCCTGACAGTTTTCAAACATGTTTTCTCTTTGTAGGTTTCCTCTGTTATTTCTGATTTAGGGCAGTTAATTTTTTCAGAGTATTCATTTCAGAGGACTCATTCAGAGGACAAAAACAAGGTCTCCTGGTGCAGCATACCAAATCATGCAATAGTTGGTGCTGTAACTTTATCCTGTCCCTGACACTTTCTCTGGAAGTGCACATGGCTGTCATCCAGCTCCTCTTGGTGATACTTCACTCTAATGGACATTGTTGCTTATGTATTTTTACAAAGGTATAGCTAACATATTTTGTCTCAGTCACTAGGTCATTGATGTGATTTGGTTTTGTCTGTTAAGATGAACAAATATTCAACTTACCTACATACCTATGTATATATCTCTCTCATGTCTTTATACTCCAGCTGTTGACTCGGCGTGCATTGCTAGTGTATTAATTTTAGTAATGCACGTTCTAATTCATCCTACCCATACAGTCTGTCCGCTGGAAACAGGACTGTTTTCAGTTTCCTCCTTCCAACCGTCTGCCAAATCATTTCAGAATACATTCTTTCATACGCCCCGGCTCTCAAACCATTTGGAGCAAAGTCCATCACCTACTCTGGAGCTACAACATCAGCCATAATAGATGGTCTGCAGGCTGGGGAGCGCTATATTTTCAAAATTCGTGCAGCAAACAGGAGGGGACCAGGTCCTCAGTCTAAAGCCTTCAGTGTCGCCATCCCAGCAGGTGAGCACCAAGCCATGTACCAATTCTATAGTCCACCCATTCTTGCCTCAGTCCCAGTTATGTTAATTTTTACTGACAGCTTCCTCTGCACTGCATCTAACCTGTGGGATTTTACTTTCTTAATACTGTTTCTGTTAGCTCTTTCATCATTATATTGTCCAAAGAGATTCTTGTAGGTAAGCATTTATCACTCTGCAGCATGTATAAGGATATTTTATGGACATTTTAACATCTTAAATAAATGCATATCATACTCTATTTCCTGCATGAAAACACTTGTGTGCTCTTGTTATCCAAAGCCTAAAGGATACAGTGCTTTGGGTCTTTGGTTGCTCTATTCCTGACAACTCTCAGTCTTGAAAGCCACTTAGAGTGGCTTACTCAGATACGATTCCTTGCTTTTGCTTCTTGTTGAAAAGATGCTGTTGTGGGAACAGCAGATTTGCTGAGTTAACTAAAAATGTGGGCCACAGCCTCAGATGGGATAATGCAGCGCCATGCCTCAACATGACTAAGCTCTGCTGAAGATTTGATTCCACTGATAGGATGATGCAGTCCCTGCTTTTAGATATTTGATTTTAATTGCTCTAAGTTTTACCCAAGCTGCAGTAATTCCACACAGGTACTTTCCTACAACACAAAACTTACTCAGCCAGACTCCAGAGACTGCCTAATACAGAAATAATTGTCGTCTCATACTTTCATAAGTTGTTTTGTTCTTGCTGTCTGGCTGGTTTCTTTGCTTGGTGTGTTTTTTGTGTTTCTTGTATTGTTGTGAATAAATGCTTTATTTTTTTTTTTTCCCCAGCTGCTCATGAGGAGTCAGTTGCTCAGCAACAAACAAGTATTCAAGATAATTCAGAGGTTAAAAAAACTGTGACTGCTGCCTCATCTCCTTCTCAAACTTCTGTTTCTTCAAAAGTCCAGCCATCACTTTCCTCCAAGCAGTCATCTGTTCGTTCACCTAATGTTAGTGATAAGAAGAGTCTTCTTTCTGAATATAAGAATAAAGTCTTGACTCGAGGAGTTCTAAGTAAATCTCAGTTGCCTTCTAGAAAGACAGGAGAGCTGGAACCTGATCTCCAATCCACTGAGGTGACAGATGATCGTGATCCCTCCCAAGAAATTCCAACGATGCCACCAAAAGCCCAGGATCAGAAGAGGAATGTTAGACCCTTCTCCCCTAGTCGGCCAGTCCACCCTGTCCTTGCCTCAGGGAGGACCTCTGTTCGAACCCACACATCAGAGGTGTCACAGCAGATGAGCACAGAGAAACATGAGCCACCATCGTCAGCACAACACTCTTCTGCCTTGTCTGGTCCCAAATATACAGATAATGAAACAAAGCAACTGAGGCAAAGCAGCCTTAATGTGCCTTCTCAAGCCTCTTCCCATACTCTGCCTGTCAAAAATAATGATCTTGTAGGTAGTGTGGAAAGAAAGCCAGACACCATGCCGGTGAAAATGTCTTCTAAAACTTCAGAACCTAGCCGCCTGGCTTTGCCATCAAATCGGCAGTCTGCTGTCTCTCATGAGGTTGTCCAAAGCCATCCTAGTAGGTCTGGGTCTCTAGGTCATTCACATCAACCCTCTTCCAAATCAGCAGATTCCCATGCTCGTGATAGCCGTAATGAGTTTGGCAGTGAGGAAGCAGAAGACAGAGGAGGACAGACCAGTTCTAGGTCACAACAAACAAGGCTTCCCTCAGGCTCCAGCTCTCGCACATTGAAGGATTCAAAATTAGCTGCAGTGGCAGTCTCATCAAGGTCTGCTGTTTCTGGTCACACTCGCTCCTCCACCAGTGCCAAATCTGACAGAAAGGATGTTGATAAGAATTACAGGGAGGACTCACAAAATGGAAACCCGTTATTTCCTTCTCTACCCTCTTCCAGGCAGTCTTCTTCAGCAATCTATTCCAAGAGAAGAAATCCTCAGGTCGATTCTGATTCTCACCTCAGAGACACACACAGTGAAAAGTCATCCCACTCTGACTCAGAAGAACAACGAAGTCAAGCAGCTGCTCCAGAAAAGCATACTCTTTTGCAATCTTCTCTTTCCAAACATAAGTCTGAAGAGCAGGACAGTCGAGAGGTAAAAGAAATGCTTGCTCAATCAAAACCAAGTGTATCTTTACCTAAAAAGACACTTCCCTCTCGTCTTCCATTGGAGAAGACCTCTCACTCAGAGCCTCCACAGAGGGCACAAACCAGTCCTTCGTTACTACATTCAAGGGGCCGTCGGCTCCCATCTCACGTCTCATCCCAGAGTAACGAAGAATTGCAGGAAGGTGATGATGGGGATATAACAGAAGGGAGTGACAGAGCAAGCAGCCACTCAGTGTTTCCTAAAAAGGTGTCCTCTTCTAGGGGATTACCTGCATCTTTCTCTCAGGGAAGCTCAAGTTCATCTCTATCAAAGCAACAGCAGACAGGTTCTCAGGTACCTTCCTACAAACCAAAACTTACTCAGCCATCCTCCAGTTCTGCCAGTGATGCAGCAAAAGACAACCGGTATAATCCAAGGTTGTCATCCACTTCTTCGAGACAAGCTCGTCCTTCATTACCTGCTCGCTCAAGGGTCACTACAAGAACAGAGTCCCAAACAGACAAAAAATATAGCCTATTGCCCTCAAAAATGTCCAAAGCTGAACTTCCTCAAAAAGTTCCTTCGTCCTCTTCAACTAAATCTCACCAGTCAGTTTCTGATGAAGAGGATGATTATTACAGTGAATATGATCAGAAAGAAATGGAAGAGAAACCCTCATCCTTGGCAGCAAAATGGTCCCCTTCTGTTTCTAGAGGTAACAAGAACACATACGATGACACTACTAGCAATAAAAGGAAATCTATGGACACTCTTCTACCTCACAAAGTAAGCTCTGAAGAGGAAGAGAAGGAAAAAACCCCAACATTAAAAATATCTTCTCCTGAGTCACCAGGAAGTTCTGCCGTAGCATCACGGATTACTCAGTCCTCTAACAAACATACCCCGTCTAAACCAAGCTTTGTCTGGCCACGTTCTTCTGCATCTACCATGACACACACTGTTTCTCCAACAGTTTCTTCTTCCACTCTGTCCCCTCGCCAGCGACTGTTGAACTCAAGGCTACGGAACCCTTCCCAACGGCAATTTGTTCGACCTCCTTATAGGCAAGGTATCTTGTCTTTGTTGTAGTAATCTCACTGGACTGTGTTTTTCCTAAGATCAGCAGTTAGATGAAAAGCCCTCCATCAGAATGCACTTTCAGTTATTTAGTAGAACGTATTACTTTTTATTTTGGTGGTTTTCAGGGAGCCCAGTTCTTGAGGACATGGGCTCATTGGTGTAATGTGGTGCCGCAGTCCTTTGGTCCTGTGGTCTGATCCTCACAGAATCCCATGATCCACAGAGGAGATGACAGAGATAGGTGCTAAATTGGAAAAAGGATTATGTTCCTTATTGAGCAGTGACTTCACTGAATGCTCACTGAAAGTACATGTGTACATATGACAACTTCTCGGGTATATTGCTCTTCATCGTATGGATTACTAAAAGCTTTTGTAGGTTATACCTACAAAGTGCTACTTTGACCACACCTAGGTAGTAAGGTGTTTCTTCATCATGTCCTGTCATTCTGTTTTCTTTAATTAATTTTTAAGCCTTTTTACTTTTTTCTCCTCTTTTTTTCTAAGTGACAGCTCAGGGTTTCACATTCCTGTTGAAGACTGCTCACATCACAGTCAGGCCATCTAATACCTTTATGGCTCTGATTTACTCCAAATGTTAGAGGCTTTCTGTCTGGCAGAATATCTGCTGACCCTGAGTGGTAGAACAGAGGGTCCCCTACACATCAAGGTGTGTCACGTATTGATTTCCCATGTCACCTATGGAGAATCCCAGTCTCAGTGACTTTGCTGGGTAGAAATAATTTTTCTCCCTCCAACGCATGGACATGCAAAATAGTATTGAGTGACGTGAGTGTTTTAGTAAATACCTTCTATGCTATATGTAGATAACGTTTTGTTCAGTGTGGCTGGACTATTGTATTTGCTATGTTTTAGTCAGATTCAATGTTGTGTAGAGGTCTGCCAGCTTGCAGACCTTTAAGGTAGGAGTGGACCTTAAATAATAACATGGAGGATGAGATGCATGGCATGAAAGAATAATAAATTTCTCTGTGGAGATTGTGTACCAGCTTACTGCTAGCCATGCAATTGGGGGAAGTTAATAGCTGAGGAGTGTTCAACTAGTGTATTTTTTTTTCAGTTAATATATGTATATATTTTCATATATTTTTCTGGAGGCATGTCTCTGAGCTAGGATCTGAAAACTTCTGGCCTTATTGCCCTGGGGGGGCCTGTAACTCAGTGCCACTCCTTCTCCACTTCTGAGCCGAGTGTGCCTCTATGTAGCAGCGTTTTTTCAGCAAGAGAAGGAGAGTCCTTCCTTTTACAGGTTGAAATAAAAAAAAAAGATAATTCTCATCCCCTCTCCTGCAGTTAATCACTACAACTTTATATAAGGATAGGATTGAACAAGTTGTGTTTAATAATGGTTTCTTCCCTCTTCCCACTCCTTAAATGTTTACAAAGATCACAAACATTTTGATGGCTGTAGTGCCATCTAGAAATATTTCCTTGCTTTCTTAAAAAAAACCAAGAGGGAATAAAGAGACCAAATAAACATGGTAGAAACAAACCATGAGTGTTTAATCTCTTCAGGAGAAACCATTTCAGATGCTTGTGTCAGCTGTGGGGATCTGACAGTGTCACAACTGTTCCAAGCAGAAATTAAATGCCTGGTTTGCCGAGTGTGGTGAGGGTTCTTTCTGTGCTCGTTTATGTCCAGATCAGTCTGAAAATGCATTTCTTTGCATTTTAAAATGTGGTTTGTAGGTTGCACAACTTTCTTCAGAATAGTATTTTCTTCTCCATTTCAGGTTACAACAGCAGACCTAATCTTACAATGAAAAATGGAAATGGAAATGGAAAAATAATACCTGGTAATAATGGAAAACCAAGTGGACAGAGAGTAATCAATGGCCCTCAAGGAACAAAGTGGGTAGGGTGACCTTCTCTCCAAATTCAAGATGCTTTAGCCTTTTATTGTACTTACATTTTTATTAAGAAAGGAGAATAGTGTCCTCAGTCAATGAAGCCGTAAAGTGAGGTTATACTTGAGTGATCTGGTTTCCACTGTTCATTGAAATCTGATGTGAAATTCTGCATTTCATTATTTGAACATTTTAAATGTCTGATTTAAAGCCTGATGGCTTGAATTTCAACTATAGCATCGCTCCCATGAATTTAGTGAAACATTTTTTTCCTCAAAGTCAGTGGGACTTACGCTCCCCAGTGACGCAGGGCTTGTCTGCCGTGCAGTGTTAGTGGGGACTACCCGGGATAGCTGCTGTGAAAGACATGTTCAGCAATGCTTCTCCCAGACTCACACTCCAGGTTGAAGCTCGTGAACAAAAGTATTGAAATGTAAAGTTACTCTGTTAAGTGTCACAGTGCTGCAAATGTACATACATAGGTATCTTGTACATTTGTACAGACATGTTTCCAGTGATATTTTCAGACAATCTCAGACACCATTAATAGGAAAGCCCCACTAGGTGCCTACATGCCAAGACCTTGTCTTTTAAAATCCTTTGCGGTGAGTTTGTAACGGACCAATGCAGGGAAGGAACTAGTGTTTCCTGTGTGTTCATCCAAATGCTGAGCAGGAGGAGACTCTGACCATCCTCCCTGGCACCTGTAGAGCTGGTCACACACAGTATGACACATAAAGACATTGATTTTATGGCCTCTTCAATCTCACTGTTTTCATTCGAGGAACATAAAAAGGTTCATCAGGTATGTCACATTCAAGGGAGGCATTTCAAAAAGCATACCCAGAGCCCTTTAAATAGACTCCAGAAAGTGGGCTGAAAAGGTCCTTGGGAGAATGTGGGGCATCTCTCTCAACCCCCACGAGAGGAGGGCATTGCTGCAAGCAGGACAAACACCTTGTAAATCAAGAGGTCCTGTGTCAACATCTGGGGACTGGAGGGCTTTGGAGACTGATCTCATGATCTGCCGTCCCTCCTGCTACAGTCTTTTCCCCATCACCAAATGTGTTTGTCTTGCCAACCTAGAACTGCTGCTCATGTCCTCTTCCCAGTTTTCTCCCAGCACCTTTTGCATTTTTGTGTTCTGTGGTTCAGTGTCTGTTACCTCGGGTTAAAACAGCATATAATTCAGCTATTTTGGGTTGAAATAGCAACAAGGACTGGATTTTAACTACAGTTGCATCTTGAATTCCATCCAGGCTCTCAGACAGATTTGTTTTATGAGACAGAGGCTTTTCTTCAGTCTCCTACCCCAATTAAAATCTTAGCTACTTTGTTTTCACTGCTATTTCAGTCTAAATTAACTAGTTTAATTTTTTCTTTTTCTTTGTTTAGGAGACATGCTTTTAAATCCTGTTTTAGAAAAGGTCTTGGGGTCATACTCTAAACAGTATTACAGAAATCCACCTTAGGAGTTGCGCAGCCCAAGAAAATCAAGGCAGTTGCTCCTTTGCACGAGATCTACAGTAGATGATATGAATATGGTTGTTGTGCAACTCTAGAGCCCAGCTCCTGGTGATTTGCTTTCTTCAGCAGTCATTTTTCAGTGATTACTATACAATTAGTGACTCACTTTTGAAAGTCTGTGGGTGTTGTAGTTATTCCTGAACATCACACTTAGCATCTGAATTTCCCCAGGATTTCTGTTGCTGTGAAGTTTCATTTCAGCTCCTCTTGTGTTAGCTAAACTTGAGTCCATCTATTGCTTTTAGATTGTAGATCTTGACCGAGGACTCGTGTTAAATGTTGAAGGAAAATACCTCCAAGATTCCCAAGGCAACCCTCTCCGAGTGAAATTAGGAGGAGATGGACGTACAATTGTTGGTAAGTGGCAGCTTCCTTCTTATGGAAAAAAATCTGCAGTTTTTATGCACATGGAACAAGTCTTTGAGCTGCTGAATTCTTTAGCCATCCCCAGGTCCCATGCAAGCATTTGGAGCTGCTTGTACCTCAGGTCTCCATCAGGCAGCATGTTGCAGGACCTGGGGAGTCTTTGGAGCATCCTGTGGGGCTCTGGAGTATGAGGCAGCAAGAATCACCCAAATCCATCTCACTTGTATCAGCATTAGACAGGACTGCAGAACTGAGCTAGGATAAGGATTGACTCCTGTTTGTCTTCTTATACATAGAAGTAATTATTTCTCACCACTAGCACTGTACTAGCCATATGTATGTGATTATTTTTTCTTCTGAAACTGATCACAAATAGTAAAAACCCCTGTGTGTGATCTGTAAAAATGTTGCTGTTTGCATATCAGTCCACCTGTATAGATTTCTTGAACGCAAATTCAGTGCCTACTGCTAAACTGATTGCCATGACTGTTTGCAGTATCCAGAATATGGCACAAAAATTTATCTGCAGTGATAGCATCTCACCAGCTCATCCCAGTTTTTCCTTGTGCATGTTTGACATTAGGGAGCAGTTCATCATACCTTTCATCAACAGTTACAAGACTGACTTCAATTAAATGCAGGCACAGTCTCTACATTGTGATTCTGAAGTGAAACCTCCCTGCAATCTTCCCGTTATCAAACAGCCGATAAAAGTGAACACCACTGTGGTTTATCTGAGGTTCTTCTGAACTATTTTCCAGCTTCCTTAGCCATGGCTCTTTCCTAGATAACAACCTTTTCTGTCAGTTTAGTACTGAACCACACTCTCAGTGCTCTTGTGGTATCTACTATTGATAAATACCATGCTATAAGCCTGAAATTGATTAATAGTGATGGGTTTTTTTCTGTTTTGTTTTTCTCTCCTAGATGAAAAGGGTGCCCCAATGGTGAGTCCCGATGGATTACCTTTGTTTGGACATGGCAGATTTAGTAAACCTGTAGCGAGTGCACAAGATAAACCAATAATAAGCCTTGGAGGGAAACCTCTGATTGGTCTTGAAATGATTAAGAAAACAACCACTCCCTCAACTACTACTACTACAACAACACCCCCAACAACTACCACAACAACTACTACAACCACTACAACAACTGTTGCTACAACTACCACCACCACTCCTGAACCAACCACCACTGAACCACCCACTGAGAAGCCACCCCCAACCTGTCCTCCAGGCACTTACGGACACTATGATGACGAGGGCAACTTGCTGTTGGGATTTGATGGCCTGCCAGAGTGCAATGCAGAAGGTAACTTCATTTTGTGCTGTTTGAACTTCTTTGGTTGTATTATTTGTGCAGCACAGTTACACAAATGTAAAGCAGAAAAGAATCTGCCTCTGAAGATTTTGGTCCATGTGATAAGGTAGGAGCAGAGATTTAGAGCAGCTAAAGGAGGGTTTGGGTGTTAAAAGGTTTTTAATTGAAAAATATCAACTTTCCTCAAAGTGGAAGTTTTTCATGGATGTTGATTTCAGTAAAATTCTTACCTTGTGTTGGATCCAGTTTTGTCACATATATTCGTGCATGTGAGCAGAAGTATAGGCAGTAGTTTTGTAGCTAAAGCACTCACATACAAGAAAGTCCTCACTTGGGTTCAGGCCAGGGAAGGACCTGAAGGCGCTATACATTTTGACTATTTTATGTTCTTTTCTCACAATAAATTCTGAAAAGTCTCTCTTTTGATCCATGGTGGAACCAGCTTTTGCAAAATGAGATTCTTGTTCTCTTGCCAGCCCTCGGAGATAGAGATTGTCTAGCAGGAATGTAGCACAGCACAGATGAAGCTGGGGAAAGACAACCCTGGCTCTGCACAGATAAGACAGAGAGTTGTACAGTAATTTCTTTCTCATCTGAAACTATATTTGAAAAAAGGAAAACATCATTTCCCTGTTGCAGTTATACAATCTTAGAATGTGGTGCCAAACTGAAATCCAAAGTAAACAAGTATAAATGCACTATAGTCTTACGGCACTGATCCTGTTCCTACCATGTTTTACTCTTTCATCACCTGAATGTTGCATTGCAAACCAGTTAGTTGCTTATTTTGAAAAACTAGATCAGGGAGCACCATGGTAGTCCTTATCCTTCCCATTTGTAGGTAATCCCTAAATCAGTCTGCAAATGGGCACTAGCAGCATGGTCATAACCTAAACAACAGGTTGGCAAGTCAGATATCTGCCAACTGCAGTAGTGAGTTTTAACGGGTAATGAAACCTTTCCCCCATACACCTGTATCTCTGAGGCCAAAGTAAATTTACAAGTAGGTCATGTAGCCATGGCCTAGGAAGCTGAACTATCACTTTGAAGGGTGTAGAGATATGGAAGGATGTGGCTTCAGCAACTCACAGTGAGTCTCAGGATGGCATCTTTGGAAAGGATCTCAGAAACAGAAGACTGAAAATCCCCTTACCAGCTACCCTGGGTAAGTAATGAGCCAGAGATGTTAGTGCCCTGTGCGGGTGGAATTACAATGATTTTTAGTGTTAATATTTACCTAACAACTATCCTCATGTTTGACAGTAGAAGTGTGCTTGCATATGTACATATGCCTGGATGTGTACACACAGAGACATACGTATATAAAAATTAGCATTTCTTTGAAGATTTTTGGTTTTCTCTTTAGTGCTTTCATTGGTTTTAATTGTATTTACTGTTTGAACTGTTACAAATATTTTATATATAATATTACCCTGGTATTTTCAAAGTTGCCTAAAGGGGACTGTAATTTTTGGTAGAGCCTCTCCCAGTCCCACCAGATCCTTTTGCTTACCTTAAATGTCACTTGTATCCTGTAATGTTTTCTGTCTTTGGCCTATGCTGTTTGATACCTGAAGGGCCTCTTTTGAGAATACATGTAAGAACAGTAAGAGTTCATGAAATATGGCTGGGGTTAATATGAATATAGACTCCAGAAGCTAAAAACCAAAAAGCTTTGCAGTATTATTTTTAGCAGAGTTGTGGACTGGGGAATTTTAATGTGATTTTATGAACATTTTAAAACGTTCTGCTTGGGTTTTTTGCCTTCTACCAGATGGACTTGATGAATCCTTGACCTTTGTTAGAGGCATGAATGAAAAATAGTTTTTTATACAGGCTTCATGTTCAGTGGCCCTTAAGTCACTGCTAAACTGTCTGGCATTTTGACAGTATGTCTGCAAATGCATCACAGTGGAAGAGTGAAAGGAAAAGATGGTGCTAGATTTCTACTTCTTACCTGCTATATAGCTTGAGCAATACTAGTTCCTATCTTGCAATAACAAAAGTTTCTCTGAAGAGTAATTATTAGGATTTTCTTGATTTTTTTTTTTTTTAATCCTGATGACCTGCCTCAACATTTGACAAATGCAGCAAAGCAGCCTGCCTGTTCCACAGAGGAACTTGCCTGAAAAGAAAGCATCTTTGGTATTTATTTAATGATGGCTGGTTTTGTTTAGCAAGTGCAGTGTCTGTTTCAAGAGAGATAAACAACTACTACTTGAACTATCAAAACATTTAATGCAGCTTTCCCTTGACCATTTTCAAATCATATTTTTATGATGTCTTTCCCTTTAATCTGAGTCTGGAAAATACTTCAGATCCTTTAATGAAATACTTTTTCTGCCAAAGCTTGATATTTGTTGCTAAGTGCTTTACTCACAAACAGTTGGGGGCTGCAAGTGCCAAAACCCACCGCCAAACATTCTACTTAAGCTTTGGCAAATTTGCTTGCTCTCTGGCAGGATTTTTACTTGACCCAGCAGAATTTATTGTCAACATTTCACTAGATTTAGCACTCTCTAACTTTCACAAAGGAGTCTGGCCACACAAGCGTGACTTGTCAGTGAAATCAACTTTTTTCATGAACTAACTCACAAGGGGAAAAAAGGTGGAGTCTTAACCACGTGTTACATGTGATAAAATCAAGTGGTGGTTGCAGTGTGCCATCCTTACAGATGCCAAAAGTCTATGTCAAGTGGTCATAGGAAGACTTTGTCTCATTTGGTACAGGCAGGGTTCACTGAAGAGCTGCAGTGAAGGGTGATGGAGCAAGCTGGGGAACTGCAGCTGCTGTACGTATGTATATACAGAAAATTATAAAGTGAGAGGTCTTTTGAGAAGTACCCCTATTGCCGCCATGCCACAGCTAATGCAAAAGAAACACAGACAGTGAAGCAGAAGAGACCGAACAAGTACAAAAATAGAAAATAATGTTTTTGCTGGATTGTACATAGGCCAAAGGCTAATTAGCTAATATGTGTGAATGAGTTGAAAACTGCACATGAAGGACTTCAAATTTCTGCATATCTGAGCCTCTTGTTTATTTGGATATTGTCAAAGGTAAATGCCTACATTACAGACATTGGCTGATGCTGGCCAGCTGTGGTAAGATCTGCAGAATTCAGCAAATGATCTACTTTGTCACTGACTACCCTCAGAGAAATCAAGTAGCTTACAAGTGGATGATCTCCTGATGAGTGGCTGCAGAAGTCTACCATGAGAAAATGTCAGATTTTGCTAGATGAAAGTCTGACAAGAATTAACTCGTTTCCTGTGTTTTCAAAGCTTATTTTGGCATTAAAATCACTACAATGTATTTAAAAAAACCTTATTGTAGTAGGAAAAAAATCAGTCTTGTACAATAATTGTTGGTTCTAAATAAAAAAAAACCCATGCAAAATGAAAATGTAACATTCAGATTACATATATGTGAACTGACACTGGCAGTTGAAATTTTGCATTGTTTGTATTATTACTGGCTTAGTAAAAAGAACATTGTTGCTTTCATATCAAGTGTTACAGGAACATTGAGTTTCTTTGTAGTATCCTGAAGTCAAAGCTGTATTTCTCTTGCCTTTATTCACACACTGGCCTCTCCCCAGCCTCGGCATTTCACTGAAGACTTTTGAGTGTACCTACAGTGGGTTCCAGCACAATGCTTTTGTTGTTGCTTTGCTTTTCGTGGCTAATCTGAGCTTTGTGTACTCTTTTGGCTTCCCTGAATAACGTGGAGAAATGCATTTCTCAGAGTGTGCAGGGAAGCCGCCAGAATTCACAAGATGAGGTACTTGATGGCTGATGTATCTGGATACATGACCTACAGAGATACTGAGATAATATGTAGGGATGGGCATCTGGGAAGCCTGTGGGTGCATTGGTTTTTGGGGTGGATCGGGGAGAGTTTTTGATGTGCACCTCACAGTCATCTCTTCTTGTATGCTTTCATTTGCATCATGGAGCAATCTCAGTGTGCACAAACTGAATTCCTGTTGGGTGAAACTAAAGCAGAAGCAGTTCTTCAGGATGACATGTATGTGCCCCAGCCTGTAATGAGCATTCAGTCCACAGGATCAGACTAGAGCTAATGCAAAGTAAAACCCCAGAAAATCTAGCACCAATTACTTCATTCTACAGATCAATTCCTTTTGGGCTGCACTAAGTAACTAGCATAGGCACAGTCTGTAAATTGCATGGTTCTGTGGGTTGTTTGATTTTTATTCCCCTGCAGAAATTATTGAAGTTTTCAGTTTATTCCAATTGCTTGGTTGGGTTTTTTTATATGATTTTCTCACATTTGCTGCTTCCGAGACTATAAAATTTTGTCAAATCCCGACCCAAGTGTGACGCGGTTGCTGCCAGCCTGCCTTTGCTCCAGAGCTGATGGGCCTGGAGCAGAGCTTCTGGAAGGTGCATTACTCTCAATTTTAAGTAGCACCACTGAACCCATTTTCCCGCAGCAAAACTCCTGGCTACTGCAGTTAGCCACTCATCTGTTACTCTAAATATGCCAAGTGGACTGTCACTGTGTTATTTGGAAACTAGGAAGTTATCTTATTTCTTTGCAAATCAACTGGCTAAAGATTTTTATTTTAAACTTTATTCCAGAAGTGTTTTACTAGGAGGGTAAGGATGAGACCATTGAATTCTTACAGCATTTTTTTCTTTCTCCTTCAATAGATACATTCTCAGGACTGGATTCAGATGTGACAGCAACTCCAGAGGCATATGTGATATACGATGACGGTACTGTTTAACTGTAAAGTCTGTTGCAAGTGGCATATTTGGGGTTGTTTTTTTCCCTGTCTTCTTTCTTTGGAATCGGATTTGAGGGGGCAGGTTGGTGAATGGGAGCTTAAGCAAGCAGTGGTGAGCTGGAAAAGCTTTCCGGAGTCCTGCATCACATGTGAAGATCAAGGGTGCAAAGGCAACTGTTTCTGGATGTGAAAGTCCCTTTCTACCAGTCCTGCAATTTAACAGGAACCTATTGTGGAAATAAATTATGTTCAGAGCTGCGTCATACAATCACCAATTCAATCCCAGCTTTACTTTCTCTGGTAAAACTTCTAACTCCAGCCCAGTCAAAGTCAATCAGCTCTTCTAAAATAGAAGATCCAAATAATATCGGAGCCCTAGAAACTTGAAATACCTTAGTGAGTTTTTAGCACTCTACAGCACTATGAATATATTTTTTTATCCTTTTATTTTTATGTGTAGTCTGAATTTAGACTATAAAACATGCTCATACTGATTGAGATCACCTACATATAAAATAATTAATCTGCTGAATTCATGTGGAATTTAAATCAAAGAGATTTGAAAACAGATAAAAGGAGAATACAGAAAGATTTTTGCAGTTATATTCGTGACATCTTGATATTATAATCCAGGACACACAAAATTTAGCTGAAGAGGCAGGTTCAAGTCCCAGCATTTAATTGTATGTTTGCATAGGGAATGCAAATTCTCTGTTACTGGAACTAGCATTCACTTTCTGCCATCAGTGACTTCTGATGTTCTGCTCCTTTTAATCCTCAGATTCCAGCTCCTACCCCTGCATATTAAAGTGGATAAGTACTCTGTTAAAGTCGAAGCCTTATAGTAGAATTTATGGCTCTAGAATAATAAGATTTTTTCTTTGTGGATGCAGTGCTGGGTTCTTAAGTCAAATCAACAACAGAAAAGCATTTAAAAAGAGAGTGCAGCAGCTGAGAGGAAGATACAGACTTTTGTGCTTTTTAGTCTGATCACTTCATACTGAGGCCAACATTTCTAATGTGGGGAGAAGAGTGTGAACTAAAAATTGCACTAGTCTTACATCCCCTGTTGCTTACATCCCCATGAAAGTGGAATATCCTCAGTGCACAGGTCTTTTGCCAGGCCTCCCCTTAGGTGCAGGTCACCTGCAGAAAACAAATGCTTTAACATTTTAAAGCCATGAACTGAATCCTTCCACCTGTATGAGGACACGGCAGGGATACCAGATGATTCTTCCCCTTCATTTCGTGTGTCAGTCTGGTAGCACAGTAGCTTTTCAAGGAGCACTGGATTTAATAGGATTGAATATCAAGGAGTACTGAATATCAGGACCACGAATGGTAAGTGCAAGACTCCATGCCTCTTAAGTTGCAGGAGGGTGTAAGAGCGCTATGAACCAGCTCTAGCATTTTAGAATAATAACACAGAGTTTTCTTAAAAAGCCATTTTTTCACTCCCTTATCTCATTGCTTTGGCATCTGAGGGCTGCAGCCAGGGATTCAATTACTGTGCTGTCTTCTCTTGGGTGTTGTAAGGGAAGGTGCCAGACAAAGTGTATTCAGGGTATTGGGGTATGAATACATTTGTTTATTGTCATCCTTTTTACCTGTGTGAATGAGGTCTAAATCAGCAACAATGCTGGTATTCTAAGGCAAAGGCTTTATGCTCGCTGTCCATCAGTTTGGTAGAAACCCTCACAAGGCTGAGGTGTGACCAACTCTGACTTAGAGGCCTGGGAGGAGTGTGAGGCACCTAGGGCAGGGTGCATAGCACTGCTCTGGGACTGTGGCTGGTGATATAAATGTTTTCCTTCTTATACTTAAGCCAAAATAACACGAAGCAAGCTAACATTTTCATCTTATGTTTTCTCTGAAGACTATGAATTTTTTGAGAGCACTTTGCCATCAACCACCACCACCATCACCACCACCACTGCTTCTACAACGACAGAATTGGATGTTGTCTATCCAGAGACTAGTGATGTTGGCACCGGCCCTGTGTCAGAATATGATATTGCTGGGAAGAAACGGTTCACTGGTAAGGATGTCTTTTGGTTTATGTAGATTACTACTTGTGCTGCAAATAATTATTGTTCTAGCAAGGTCAGCCCTTAAACTCAGACCATTGCACAAATACATCCAACAGACTCGTGTGTGGTCCTTGTAAGGACTGTCACCTGGGAAGCCCAAACAGCAGAGCTTTGTTCATAGCTTTGTTGCTTGCACGTGTACGTGTGGACCCACACCAAATTTGTTGAAGCAGTGCAAACCTCTTTGTACTCTTTCAGTATAAATGCTCTGCTCTGTATTCTGCATTGTGTTTGCTTTAGCTGAAGTCAGTAAGAGAGCAAGACTGTCGACTCTGGTGCTCAGCTCAGCTCTAGCTACATCATTTTAAGTTCACACCAGTAGTTCAAACAGTGCAAGTCTCCATGTAAGTGTGAGTATTCCTCTGTGGGACCAAATTTTTTTCCACTGACTCATGCAACCCCAGTGATTTCACCCACCACTGCAGAAGCATGTATGTTAAAGGTGTGCTTCAAAGTCAATGAAGGAATGGTGTTTTAGATATGATCTTTCCAAAAAGTAAAACCAGCAGAGATAAATTTGACTTTTCTATTTGTATCTTTGCTCTGTAGAAGTACCTTGGTGAAGGAACCCCCAATACATTGACATGAGCCATGAGGCTGGCTCCTATATGTGAGCCATTCAAGTGTGTAGGTATGTGTTGCAGCTCTGACTTCAGACCTGCTCTGCTTCTTTGTCAGAGAAACAGCTGGGGGCCAAACTGGAGGGATTTCAATGTGGTAGAGCATTCCAGCCTTCACCCCAGACTGGTGACATCCCCACAGCCCTTTACAAACCTCTGGCATTTGAACTGAGGTCAGGTCAGCTGCTGGCTCACCTGGCATTTCAGAGGGGAGTTCAGATGATGGAGAGTCAGCTTTGACTCATGTCTTGCTTTTCCTTCCAATATCCACAAGCTTCATGTGGCTTAAAGTGGAGGTCTGCTGCTGGAGTAAAACATTTGTTTTTATATATGCCAAGACTTTTTCCAGTGCATCTTCAGTTTCCCTGTCCAAACAATTTCATGATGTTTCTATTCGGCTCTCTCACTGACAGTGCTTCTTGATTCATTTAGCTGGAGAGGCTAAAATTAACTTCATTGCAAGATCTGGAAAAAATCCCTTTAGGGCATGAAATCCAATAAGATAAACCAAGAAATGTTGGTCTATGAACATTTTAAGTCTCTAGGGAAATAATATTACCATTTCAATGAATTGTATTATTGCAACTGAATAAACATTTCCAAAGCAAATTTTATAGTCCTTACTTTGAATGTTACAGTGACTTTTAAGTCAATAAAAAGATGGTTTAATCTTTTCCTGATCTGAAATGCAATTCCAGTCAGTGTAAAGCTTTTAAAAATAGAAGTTACAGGTTGAGAGCATATGCCTGGAAGGTAGGGATTCATGACTCCCGGTCCCATAGTACCCAGGGAACCACAGCAATAATCCCTTCTTTTAATGTGGCCAGACTTCACCTTGGAATTACTCTTCCTGTCCCCTCTGTTGTTTCACTCCAACTTTAAGATGTTTGTGTAAGAACCAACTACTTAGACCCGTAAAGTCTTAGATGATCTAAGGCCCTGGCAGGGATCTGTTCCCGTGAGTGGAAAGGCAGGGAGTTTGGGTGACAATTTCAACCCCACCTTCCAGAGCAGCTGGAGGTAGCCTGTGGAGGGTCCTGCAGTCAGACCATCTCTTATAGCAAAGACAATCCTTCTGTCTTTGCATAATTGGCTACAGTTGTGAGTGAGTGTGGGATAGACCTGAATATTGGCATCTCATTCTCCCTGCTCATCAATCAAATTGAGTGCAAGCCATGCTTTGTTGGCAGCAATGAACTGTCTCTGGGCTGGAAGGGGAGAAATTTTAAAATGCATCACAAAACTCATCTTTCTTCTTTTCAGGAAATCACCAACCTGTGTGCTCCTCTGTGGTATGTACGAACTGCTAACTAAACACCACCCTTCCCTGTCTCTTCCAGCTCCTTATGTGACCTATCTCAATAAAGATCCAGCAGCCCCCTGCTCCTTGACAGAGGCCCTGGAGCACTTCCAAGTGGAAAGCCTCGATGAAATAATCCCTAATGACCTCAGAGAAAAAGATCTGCGTCCCCTTAAAGCCCCTCACAACATCACTGTTGTGGCAGTTGAAGGCTGCCACTCCTTTGTCATTGTTGACTGGGCCAAACCTGCTCGAGGAGACATGGTAACAGGTACTCTCCCAAGGATTGCTCTCCTGATGGGGTAGTGGGGAGGGTTGTCTCAAATGACCATTTTTGCTTTAAAATGAGCCAAAGGCTCACGAAGTTCTCACTTCTCTGCAATTTTTTAAGGGAAGTGAGCTACTTTCTGAGGAGTGAGAAAGGTCCCTTGTCCCTCAGTGCCAGACCAACCAGCCCATGTTGGTCCAGATATCAAGATTTTGGCACTCATTTTGTGCCAGTGATTCTGAAGGCACCACTTCTTGCCTGGATGATAGCTGTGATAGTGCTTTGCTCAGCTGAGCACTTCTGCCCCCAGGTAGTGCCCTCAGCAAAACTGCAGGCACCTCCCAAGCCTGTCTTTGGAATATCCTTCACACTCGGCTTCTGTCCACTCTGAGCAAAGGTGATGGCATATCTGGAGCCGGTTGGAATCCTGCCTCCCAGTGAGCGTGGCTATAGGAGCCTGTAAAGAGCCTTCTGGCTTGGCAGTCTTCTAGTCCTCTTTTTTTTGTAGGAAAAGAATGTATCAGGGTCGATTACCTTGTTTTACTGAAATTTTGCTCAAATATCTGTCTAATAAGTGAGGTCCAGAAATTGGGAGTGTGTTAAACAAATGTATTAAATTAGATCTCCTTTAATGTCTTTAGACCTTTTGAGAGCCAACTGACTTCAAGAATGAATCTCAAAAGTTGCTGGAAAAACATGAGTACATAACCAAAATATTTTAGAAAGTAATCAACCCCTGTTTGTCAGTGGACCCAAAAGATCTGGAGTAAACACTGGAAAGCGCCACTGCTTTGGTGCTAACGTCCAGTTTTTGAGGAGCCTCGCCCAGCTCTGTGGCTGACAGCCATGGCAGAGGGGTGGGAGCTGGTGGAGACGAAGCAGCAATAACGGCATAGTTGGGAAGGGAGAAGGTGGCACTTGAACAGGCTGTGTGGTGTCTCCCACAGCATTTCATTCTTCAAGGCTGTTGATCTAGTTGCTTACCAAGCTCAGTCTGCATAACTTCTTTTTTTTTTTTTCCCTCAGAAAAACCCCTGGCATTTCTAACTGTATTAGTTTCTGCACAGTCAGTGTATCACTTAAAACAGTGAATGGGTTGCTGCTGTCATCTTTTGCCTTCATTGTGTTTTAAATCAGAATTTGCACCTGAGTGCCATCCTTTCATATAATGCTCCATCATTATTAGCTAATGACAGGAAATTCTTGTAGACTGAGATTTTTCAGGAGAGTTAGGAATCAAATAATTTTTATATTCAAAGATGCTTCTACTCCTTTTGACCTATAAAATCTACCATGACACCTAGGGATTAAAATTTATTCAGAATCCTCACAACTATTTGTCTTTCCCATTTACAGGATACCTGGTTTACAGTGCATCCTATGATGACTTTTTAAAGAATAAGTGGTCAACCAGAACTGCAGGGACTACTCATTTGCCAATTGAGAACCTGAAGCCCAACACACGGTAGGGAATTTGATCTGCTCTTTTTCAGTTCTGTTAGGGAAGTAAAGCAAACTTTGAGAATTGTTAATTGTTGTTCTTGGCCTCAGTATAAATGCTTACATCTGATCTAGATTTTACTCATTCTGTTTGACAGCAAATTCTTTTTCTAAACTGCACACAACTACTTACATGTTATTTTTACCATATTGACCCTGGAGCAGATGACCCTGTATGTGCATAAGTGTTTGTGATATTAAACCACATATCAATAACAGAGAAAATCTTAATTTAAAAACATATTTTATAGTCTTATGCATAACTGAATCAAATTTTAGGGGGAAGAGTATAGCCTTGGTGTGATGTGAGTGGCCATTCCCACATAATGGTGTGGCCAAGGCTTGATACCCAGCTGGTGAGGAGAGGTGCCACTCCCTGGGCTGTTTTTGCTGTCTGTTCACATGAATTGTGCTGGAAGAGAAGACTTGGAGTCATATAATGAGGCTGGGACAGTTGCTTAGAAGTCAGTTTGGCATGAACTTTAAGTCTTTATCTTGCAAAAAGTGTCACTGAAATGGCAGAACAAGAATGCATGCTTTGCATGATATTGGAGTAATTCATGGCAGTTAGGTGGGAAGTAAATGGCCACAGAGGGACTTCTTTTTACAGATGCTTGGTGTCTCTCATACTTTTCTCTCAAATTCTGAGTCTGAAATAGTTTGGTGCTGTCTTAGGTGAAGTGATTGCTCTTCATTTGCTGATGACTAGATGACTACAGTCTCTTAGACACTGGTAGCAGGTGTTGCTCACATATTTGGTAACATGGGAGATGCACTGGGATTGTGAGCTAGAACTAGCATACCTCACCTGATGATGAGCTGCAGATCAGAGCATCCACTCCTAGGACAGCCACATAGGGTTTGTGCCAGGGCAACATAGGAGAGAAATTATGTCACCTAAAGTATATTTTTTTTCCAAGACTATTTATAGACAAAGGGGGGGTTCTACAGGTTAAAAGAAGTTGACTGAGAACCTCAGTCTAGAAAACAGAGAAATGCTTGAGCATGACCTTCATCTAAAATCTTAACAGATTAAATAATAAAATAAATTATGAAAAGTCAATGCAGTGTAGCATTTGGGTCTCAAATATGACCAGGCTTATTTTTTCTGACCACATCACAGTGCTTCACCACACAGCTCTGACTTTAGCATAGACTTACTTGTGCCTTGCCCCTGCAGCTGCTCCTGCTGGCCCTGAAACATCCAAGCACCAAGAAATCACAGTGTGTGTTAAGAGGGGGGTACTACTCCCCTGTCTCCTGCCCCGACAGTTCCCTCCAACCACAGACTTCTGAGGTCATGGCATCACTTTGAGAGACTCAGCACCAGAGCAACTTTAGCAGCAGTTCCTTAGGCAGGTGTACCAGGGACACGTCCCTGGAAAAACTTTGTGCCACCTTATCTTCTCCTTTTCTGTCTACAGTGCTGTCAGTCCTATACTTCATGAGGCTTTTTCTTACATATCCAAGAGATAAAAAAAAGGCAACCTATTCTGAAGATTAATAATCTAGATCTCAGTGCAAGCCCTTTAGAGTGGTTCATGGTGCATTAAAGCAATATTATTTGCACAGTAGAGAGCTGCAATTGTATGCTCTGCCTCTGCTAGTGCCCTTGTAATAAAATATCAGTTACAAATGTATGGAAAGTGGTATGGGGCACTGCTTATCTGTGGATTTCACCTGTTATAACAAGATGGAAGAGGTCTGAGATCTCCTAAAGTCTGTTCCTAGGTAGCAAGGGAAGCAGGTGCAGACCACCCTGCCTTTGTACATCCTTGTCCTTGTGACTTGAGGATACCCTTTCCCTAAACCTCTCTTCTCCTGCCACTAGTCCCAGTTCTTGCCTCCACATCCCAGACTCCTGTACATCCCCAGCCCTTTTCCCCTTCACTGGTTTTCACTCCTCCACTCTGACCCTGTCCCCACACAGGCCAGGGAGGTGTGCCTGTATGCCCTAGCTTCCCCTGGCCAGGCTCCTGTCTCTTGCCTCTCTGCCATTTCCACCTTCCAGCCACAGCTCCTCACCTCTTCACTGTCTTTCAGTCAAGTCTCCCTTTCCTGCTGCCCCAGGGACAGTGCTGAAGGGCAGCGATAGCTCTCCGCTTCTTGTGCTCACCATCTCAAGGGCTCCAGGTCACCAGAAAGAGCAGTTGCAGTGAAAGTGCCCAGGAGCCCTGCAGCCACTGTCCCAGCCTTGCTCAGTGCGGAGGAATTGGTGGGATTTGAGCTGCCAACCTGTGATACATCTGCTGAGATGTACATTAACTCCAGGCTTCAGAGGGTCATAATTTGACTGTATTTGAATGGAGTTTTGTAGGAACAGCAAAGTTATAGGTTTATGCATTTCCATGAACCTAGCAACTCCCATGTCAAATATTAAGGTTCTGTTTCAAAGTAGGGAGGTTCAAGCAAGTGCTGTTTGTTTTAAGCATATTATTTCCCCAGCATCTTACTGGAGAATGGTATCATCCATTGGCCCCTGTTGTATGCTCTGTGGAGGCAATAAAGGCTTCATGTGGGGTCTGTGGTGGAGAAGGAGAATTCTTTCCAATAAAGAAATTGTGTGTATCAGCCAATCTCATTTACATTCTCTAAATCCACAGACTGAATTGATTGCATAATTTTTGTCTTAAAAATAACTCCCTAACCACTGGGAAAAGACCCCATGCCTAACTAAGAAAATAGGGCATGAAATCTGAAGTTAGTCTAAAAATTTTGTGTTTGCATTGTTAGTGCCTTTTGTGAGAAATCTCTGATTAAGTCAGATTTACTGTATACAGATGCTGTTGAATGCTGGGCATCCCATGAGGGGCTATTGGTGGTGCAATCTTGTGGTATGAACAGCATATCAAAACGGGTTGGCATCTTGGCAGGAGTCAGTCCCAGAGAAGATTTGAAGATGTCAACATATCCTGGAAAACATCTGCCTGGTATTTAGGTTTTACAAACGAAACGGAAGTCTATGTTTAACCCATGTCATAAGTTTTCTTCTGAGACCTGGTCTAAATTCCATTTGAGAAGTGGAAGCTTTTCCATTAGCAAAACTCTGGTCATCTTCAGTGGGCACAGGAGCTGCTTTTATGTGACATGCAAATGTAAACACTAAAACTACTTTAAACCTTATTAAGTCTTAAAAATGGGAGTCTTGACAACATCCCTTCCCTAACCTCAATTCTCAGCTGTCACAGAAAACTGATGCAAAGGGCATCCGTGCTATCACTAAATCCAGTCTCCTGCAGTCACAAACATTATAATCCTCATCATAAACATTTCAGTCTCCTTCTTGAGCACAGTTAGGCTTTTTCCTGCCTTTTTGCAGGAAAGCTGTTTCAGCGCCTGATGGGAGTGACTAGGTAGTCTCATAATTTAAAACGCCATCCTTTACCACCTTATCTCCATGTCTCATCAAAACTGCTTCCCTGTCCACTTGGTTTTTGTTCCCTGGAGGGAATAAAATTTTGATCCCACAGTGCCTGCTACCAATTCCAGTGCTTGCACAGAGCATTTCATAGGAGGCTCTCAAACATTTACTCAGGGCTCACAACCACAAACAGAGCCTGGATCTTCTGGCTCTGGGGGGAGATGCACCATAAATTTCTGTTTCCTATCTGTATCTCCATTAAAGCAAAGTTGCAGTATGTCCAACAAGCAGCATCAGCTACTGTGTATCACCAGAGCAGCACAAAAGAGGTAAGATGTCAATGAAACCCTTGTCCTGTGCAGGTGGTTGACCTGTGTGGCACATACCTACCCCACACCAGCTCCTCTTCCAGGTCTGCTCTAGTGTATTTTATAGTATTTGTTGTAAATATTGATGATGTGATGATGATGTTGTAAATATAGATGTAGTGCTATACTATTTTTGATGGAGGGAGATACTTTGCACTAGCCTGTGAATCTTCAGGCAGCTGATTTACAGGTTTTTCTTCTGGAGGGATGGTGCAGTTGTAGGAGGAGGGTTTCAGCCCCTGCTACCCTCTCCACCTGCTCATGGGAGGAAACCTGCCTGTCCTTCTCGACCCCGTTCAAGTATCTTTTCCCCTTATCCACAGATTCTGCTGGGCAGGGGGGTCTGTTGGCTTGTCCCCTCTCCTTCCTGGGCAGTGCGTGTCTCTCCCTCCTGAACAACGGGTCGGGCATGCCGGTTCCCCTCCCACAGGCAGCAGCCGCATGCTCTGTGTGTCCCCTATGTGCATCCAGCCTGGCTCTCACCCAGTGCTGATGGAGGTCCAGCAGCCTCCATCCCACCATCTCTGCAGCTGGCGTGTGGTCACAGTGCAATAGCTTCTGCCCTGCCACCTGCAGCACGTGTGCATGGATGGTACCACTCTGAGTCCCATGGCTGGATGGCATCCTGCCATCTCAGCCTGCCGAAATGGTGTGGAGTTGGGGCTCCGTGCAGGCATGCCTTTGGAGAGGCTGGAAAAAGGATTTTACAGCTAACCATTTTTTCTAAAAACAGCTGCTTCCCTAATTAGCATGCTGAGTGATTATCTCACTTTGTGGCTGTGAGTGCCAGCTATTTAATTCCAACAGAAGGGAGATACCTTGAATTAAGTCATAAAATCATTTTGCTCTAAGTGACAGGTATGGTGATACGATTAGTCATATAGTCTAAATGAATAAAAATACTACATACTCATTGCCCTATTAGTTTACTCTGTCATTTCTTGACATGTGAAATGGCATATAAAATCTCAAAGGAGGTTTATTCTTAGGAGGAAAAACTTTTTTCTTGTCTGTATTGAAAATGAACAAAGAACGGTATTGCGTCTGTTGCAGCTGTGATTCTTCTGTGCCTGTTGGTAACAGTTCATTGCAATTCTTTCTAAGCAAAGTGTAATCAAAGCACAATCAACTTAAATATTACAATTTTTGTTCATGTATTTATGTGATGAAGAACAGTTGAATTATACTGATTTGAGATTTCCTGGCAAATCTATCAGCTGAAGGATTCTGAGTAATGAAAATGTCAGATGCCTGGACCTAGGAAGGCTTTGGCAATTTCTTTTTTATTTGTCATGTCTGAGAAAGAAATATATCCTGACTGTATTATTTTACTGACATTCTTAATACAGCAATCATAGCATCATCTATGTTTAAATCACAGGTCAGCAAGTCATGAGACCTGGCTCTCTTTCTGGCACAACTAGAGGGTTCTTGTGTAATATAAAGGCCTAGAAACTAATTTTCTGATTTATCAAAGAAAAATGTACTCATAACTGTTCTTTTTCCAGACAGTCAGGCAGGCAACTTAAACAATCATGTGTCCCAGACAGGCTTCTATGTGCATAACAGGACACCTTAATGTAACATTGTCCTGTTGCATAACTAAGCAGTTCTTGCATTATGCATTAGATACAAAACTGCATATTTTTCCCCACTTAAATAGGTGTAAAAGGTTCTTGGGCTGCTCTCACCTCTTTCAGATGTGGATCATCACACGTATCTCATGGGAATGTTTTGAAGCTAGTGTTAATACATACATATTAAGAGCATTGAAAGGCTTGCTCAGAAGGTGCTGCTGTGTTGTGAAGGTGGTATCAAATTATACCTCTTTGGAAGCATTCAGAAGTCAGGCATCAACACAGATATTTTCACTTTGAAGCATTACAGAAAAGATACAAGCTGGAAAACATTTTTCTCCTGCTCTTCTGAAGTAGTTACACTAAGCACTGGGTGAAGTCAGTACAGCTTGGTGCTGTGTTGTGGCCATTTTGAGAGCCAGCGTGAGGAATCATTGCCCCGTGTTTCATCCCTGTGGTCAGCCTTGTGCTGCTGACCCCTGCCTCGATCCGGGTGGAGAAGGTGAGAGTGGGTGAAGGAGGTGTGGATGGGTACAGGTGTCCCCTAAGAGCCTTGGCAACTATGGGGACTAAAGCAGTGCTCAGGCTGCCGTGCTCTTTGGGTGGTCAGAAGTAGAAGAGTACACAGGAGGCTTTTTGCCTCCCCTCTCCTCTTTCTTTAGCCATGCTAAACACTCAGAAGCTACAGTTAAGAAATCAAGGTCAATATTTAAAACTACAGGCAAATATTTCTGCCAGCAAGAGGATTGTGCTAGGCACAAGTAAAAAACACAGCCTTGCTAAATTTTGCTATTTAACATGGCTTGTTTTTGCAACAGTGTGTGCGTCTTTTAAAAGAAGAAAACCATGAATCATTTGTGAGCATCATATAGTCATTAATTACAGGCAGAACTGGCTGCAGAAAGCAGGAGTGGATCCAGTTTCTAGTGTCTGCTGTGGGACACAGCAGGGACAGGCGGCATGTCCTGTCTCAGCCCAGTGTGAGCCATGCAAGTGGGGCAGTGCTGGCAGGTTTCTGTGCAGGATGGGGAAGGCTTTCCCACCAAGAGCAACCTGTTGTTTATAATGGTGCAGGCTCACTTTCACCACCTGAGGAGCGTCAGGCCTGCCACTGGGATGGGGCATTGCCAGGGGAGGTAATCCAGTACTTCATGGGAAGCATTCCTGCAAGTAACCACTTGTCCTGTCAAGTGGGTCACATATGGAGCTTTTGGGGATGTCTGCTCTTGGATGAGAGGCTAAATCAAGATTCAAACGCTATGTGTGTATTACAGAGACACACTCTTTTTTTTTTTTTTTTTTTTTTTTAATTAATTTCTGTACAAGAATGAAATTGAGCAAGCCGGCAAGAAAGGAAAACCTAAACTCATGCACTTTAAAAATGCTGTGCTGGAAATTTTTACAGTAGTCTTGCATTCTAATTGGTTTCTGCTGTACCAGATAGAAAGATAAAAGGAAAAGAAGAAAACATTAATCTGGGGAAAAAAATGTCAGGGTAGGCATCAACTAAAAATCATTGTATTTGGAAATTAACTAAAAATGTGCTTACGGATATTCTTCTCTAAGGAGGAGGATAATTTTGCTTCTACTGAGCAAAGAATGGAGTTCTAGTGGCAAGTCATGTGCTTTGAGTTAAGCGTGTGATTTAAATACTTTAGGGGAATCAATAAGGCAACATGTGAAGCTTTCTCATATCATTCAAGTATTGTGATCTTAATGCTGCTAGAGTTTTTACAGAAAGGTCAAAAGCTTAGCTTCCAATCTCATATAAATCTGATCCAGTTTTAGTTTGCAGTTTACACGACTGCTTTCATAGGAGTTCATCTCATTTAAAACTGTTGCTGAGATCAGAATTTAATTTCCTTGCAACTTTTTTTTTTTGTCTGTTGGTATTAGTTGTTTCATATAAAGTGGATGTAGTTGTGTGTAGTTTTTGGAAGAGGGATGATTAAATGATCCAAAAATATACACGGGAGCAATTGCAGAAATGAGAAATTCATCTGTAACAGCCAGCTCTTACCCTGGCTCAGTATCCAACTCCATTTAATGCAAAGGACACCTGAACTCAGTGGAATTCTGCTGGTTTGATTCTCACCGGTTTTTAGTATTATTTATAATTTAGCCATTGAAGTGGAATCAATGTTTTAATCTTATTTTCCTTCTCTTTTTGTTTCAGTTATTATTTTAAAGTCCAAGCAAAGAATCCTTTTGGTTATGGACCTGTTAGCTCTTCAGTCTCATTTATCACAGAATCTGGTATGCTTTGCTTTTTATATTAATCTCAAAACTGAATTCCTAATAACAGGTGTGGCAGGGCAATGACTGAAACCAGCACAGTAATGAAGATGATCCTGAACTTGCTGTTCTGAGATATTATTTTTTAGGTTAATTATTTGTTTTCAGTAAAGCTAGGAAAATAATATGCACTCCTAATGCCACTATGAAAATGTAAGTGACATTAAAGTGAGCTTCAGGGGAACAGGAAGTTGAATTTAAAATACAAAAGAGTACTAATGTTCAGCAATACAGAAGCAATGGGAAGTTTAATGTCTTTGATAGATCAACCAAACATTTAGTAAATTAGCCTCGTAATTGTGAACAGCTGAACAGTTGGAAGCAGCTGTCTCTGGAAAAATATAGGAAACAATTGTTCTGTCAGACAGGCAAAGTTCTCCGTTCTTTTTTTGACAAGGCATGCTGCTCTTTCACAGGGCTAATAGTGCGCTCAAGAGCAACACCCCCTTCTAAAAATAGTACATTAAATGAGCTATTTTTACCCATTTCTTCTTATTCTCCCATTGAGCCAGAGGCCAGTGACTCCACTGAATAATGAAGGACACATTTTTCAGTCTTGAGGGAAAGGTCTGTTGTCTTTTGCAGATTTTGCCCTTTTGATGACATGGGGTTTATTCAGTCTCTGCCTTTGCTCATTTGACATTAACCTGTACAGCTTGCTTCATAAGCTCCATTAAGAACACTGGAAGTAAGTCTTTGCAGAAGGGAGGCAAAAATGCAAGTAAATGGTCCTCCATAACGTATTCAGATTGTTTTTTAAAGGAGTAAGAAGCTCAAGTATAAATCCAAGCAAAATATATACATTGGAAAAATACGGCAGTATGCCCAGGTGGCCAGGAAAGCCAACAGCATCCTGGCTTGTGTGAGAAATAGCGTGGCCAGTAGGACTGGGAAAATGATCATCCCCCTGTACTGGGCACTGGTGAGGCTGCACCTTGATTCCTGTGTTCAGTTTTGGGCCCCTCACTGCAAAAAGGACATTGAATGACTCAAGCGTGTCCAGAGAAGGGCAACGAAGCTGGTGCAGGGTCTGGAGCACAGGTCATACGAGGAGTGGCTGAGGGAGCTGGAGGTGTTTAGTCTGGAGAAGAGGAGGCTGAGGGGGACCTTATCACTCCCTACAACTACTTGGAAGGAGGTTGTAGCGAAGTGGGTGTTGTTCTTTTCTCCCAAGTAACAAGCAGTAGGACAAGAGGAAATCACCTCAAGTTTTGCCAGGGGACGTTTAGATTGGATATTAGGAAAAATCTCTTCGCTGAAAATGTTATCAAGCATTAGAACAGGCTGCCTGGTGAAGTGATTGAGTTGCCATCCCTGGAGGTATCTAAAAGACATGTGAATGTTGTGCTTAGAGACATGGCTTAGTGGTGGACTTGGCAGTTAACATTTGGACTCAGTGATCTTAAAGGACTTTTCCAACCTAAATGATTCCATGATTCTGTGATTCTATGCTGTATCTTGCAGGGAGTTTTACTGATTATCTGGCTGCCAGTTTATGGTCCTAAATGCCTAGTTTTCTCATCCAAAATCAGCTGCCTTGTGAGCTTTAATAGGTTAAATCCACCAAATTTCAAATTTTATTTCCATCATCGTTCTTTCATTTGTTACATGGCCTAAGGTGGTTTTCTAGCTGGCAGTTGCTAAATCTAAATCAGAATAAATATACAATCCTGTGGGAAGTTTCATCAACTGAGGAAAACAGTGGAATAACAAACACTCATTAGCTCTGCAAACTGACGAGACATGTAAATCTCACATTCATAAAGGAGCTAAAGGCAGTTACCCTGCAACTGATATTGTATTGAGTGACACTGTATATTTTATCTTATAAAACAACGTTTAGAACAAAATATTAAATTTTGTGTTTGTTTCATTCTTCTAGACAATCCTCTCCTCATTGTCAGACCACCTGGTAAGTCTTATTTTGCCATTTCTTTCATGAAGTGCAGAAAGCCTGTGCAAAACAGTTACAATATAGGTTTTAGAAGCATGTTAACATGCAGTTTGTGTTACAGTTTTGAGCAGGATCAGGTAGTAAATTGTGCTAATTCGCAAAATATTTTCTGTCTTAGGACCCCTTATTCTGGTCTTTGAAAAGAAAATTTTTAAAGATATGTTAGAATAAGCACTTGATTTTGGTCCATCTTTTGCCTGGTACAAGAGCTAAAATATATTGCTTCTGTATCTGTGTCCTTCAGTTGCCTGAGCATAGCTTGAACTGTGGAATCAGGTTTTCCTCTCTCTAGCTGTTATGCTCATCTATACTGAACATCATGCCATTATAAAAACTAAAAAAATCAAGGATTTGTTCCTGATCTGAGTGATATGCCATGAAGTTGTTGAGCTTGCTTTGCATTTCTGAATTTGCAATAAGACAGTTCAGCCCCTGATCAGAAGATCCGATTTCCTGGTGATGGAACCAACCTTGTGGACATGTGCATTGGTAGGGTAACCCCAGGCAGCACGTGCTCTCAGAATAGATGCAAGAAAAATGACCTCATAGTTATTACACTCCATCAGCTTTCCTAGGCTGTTCAAATGGTTGGTTCTGGGGCTTTTTGACTGCATCGTTCATTAAAACAATGTCCAGCCTGTCCCTGCCTTCTATGTTTTATTATGCTTGTTAGCCTGTTTTTTCCATGTCCTCTCAGTTGTCTCTGATGATTCACAGATACTGCAGAGCACACTATTTCTCTGTCAGTCAGTGTGGGAGGCCTCTGAAAGCAGTGGCCTTCCCCTGTTCCCGGTCACCTTCAGGTTTTTTGCTGTCAGTTCTTTTGTGGGTCTGTTCATGGAAAAGAGGTGTTGGAAGATGATGGCTTGTAGTTTCTGCTTTGACTGGACAGAGAGAAAATATTTTTGTGTGGCTACATTAGTAGAGATGATAGACCAAAAAGAGGTGGTAGACCTCTGGGAACCTGTGGAAATGAAAAGCTTCTGAACATTCAACGCAGCTCTTACAGAACATGCTAAGTCTGTCCTTGAGGATTTCTGGAGTGGGCAAAAGTGGTGGACAAAAGCAGACTATTCACATCAATAAAACTGCATTCAAGGAATAGGTAGTTTATTGTTTTATTCTAAAGATAAAACTATGGCTAGAATCCTGCAATCCTTTCACCATGTGGCTAATTGCATAAAAACAGTTCAGTTACATTTGTGTCCATACCGGTGGAGTTTTGAGGACTGCTGATCAGCGATTGCTTCTCACATGCAAGTGTTTGTAGGATTTGATCTGTGTGCCTAGTGAGAGGCAGGAAGAATGACTAACAGAAAAAAATCAATCTAATTTGTAAACCACCGCAAAACAGCACAGTAAAAACAGGACTTTTTGCTGTAGCCAGAGAGAAAAATACCAATTATCACATTGGAAGCTTTTTGTGTAATTCTATATACATTACTACAATAGCAATTTAAAAATAAATTATATTGTCTTGATTAGTATAAAGCAAACATTTAGGTAAGCCAGTAGGAATATTTAGTGTTTTGCAGTACAGTTAAGCAGTCTCCTCTGCAGCAGTGCTCTGGACAGAGTTCCCAGGAAAGGTCTCGCTTGTCTGGTTTTGGAAACTCACCTGTTTTGATGTAATGTGAGAAAACAAAACAGAAAAGTATGTTTCTGATTTGTTCTTTTTAACCAAATAGCAAGAGACTTTACTTCACATCACAGGCTGTTAGTCACCACAGAATTCTTAACAGCCGTTCTTTAGCAAAAGGGACAAGTTTTGTACTTAGTGTTAAAATGCAAGTGACTGTATTTAGACAGTGTCACTGTCAGACCTAAGATCAGGCTCTGTTGAGAAAAAAAACCCTAAGTATCACAAGGTAGAGAAGATGTCTTACTAAAAACAGTGAGACAGTTCACTTAAAACTGTGGTTCAGTACATGAAATAATCTTTTAAAAATTATTTTAACAGTTATTATTGTCTACTGCCTAAAAGTTACTTAATCAAGTCCCTTCCTTTTGGCTGTTTTTTTTAGATTTGTTCTTGAAGTAGTATTTCTGGATATAGAAAAGTTGCGCATTAATCTGCTGCAGCATCTCTTGTAAAACATATTACTGGATGTTAACCTCAGCAAAACTCGGGCTGGAATGCTAAAGTCTGCCCCTAATGTTGATTTTTTTTTTCTTCAAGGTGGTGAACCTATCTGGATCCCATTCACTTTTAAATATGACCCCACCTATTCAGACTGCAGTGGAAAGCAGTATGTGAAACGAACTTGGTACCGCAAATTTGTAGGAGTCGTTCTTTGCAACTCCTTAAGGTACAAGATTTACCTCAGTGATGACCTGAAAGGTAGGCACCAAGATTAATTTCCTGACATATGATTCCTTGTCATCTCCATCTTCTCGCTTTCTTCACCTCATCTGTGATAGAATTGTGTGACGGCTATCTGGGAGTCCTGCTCTCGAGAAGGTCCAGTGTGGTAGCCAAGCTGCCCTGCTTTTACGTTACACTCATGCCCTGGGCATTAGCTTTCAAGCAGAGCTCTTTAGACAGAGGGCAGGAGGAAGTTTCCTTTGAAAAGCCTGTGTCTGTTTGTACCCTGAGAAAGCAATGTGCTTTGTACTGTGAAAACAAAGTGCTGCTCCCCACACATCTCCCTGGGAAATCCCATGCTTGCTCCATGGGTGGGTGAGCCCCAGCTGCACATGGTCGGACAGAGCAATACACCCTAGAGATCCCTGGGGCAGACTGAAGTGGGGAACAGTGAAGGAAGACTGGTATTACAGGGACTGGGTGAGCAGTACTTCTAAGAGTTAACAGTAGATCTTATATGGGTGTATTTGCTAAGAGATAATGAAGAACTTTCCATATATTTGATCTGAGGTACTGGGATTATCTCAGTGGCTTTTCAGATTATGCTAATATGTTATTCTTATTGCAGTGCATTGGTATAGTTTGAAGGCAGTGTTTGAATATGCAATAAGAAACAAACAGGGTGGCAGGACCCACCCCATCTGTTAGAAAAAGAGAGCTCCACAGTTTTTAGTTTTGATTTGAGACTACAATCAAACTACTGGTATTGACATATACAACATTTTTTACTTTCACATGATATATTGAAATGACTGGTCAGTTGAAATGGTGCAGTGTCCATGGACTTGTAAAATGGGAGTTATTCCTTAGTGAGCAGTTTATATCCATAATTTCTCCTTCCATACTGCGAGGTAGCATTCTCCCTCTTTCCAGCCACTGTTTGTTCATTGGTAATATCATGTTTGCCACTGTAATACTTCTGCTTTCTCCCACATCTATTTTCCTGGTGGTAAAGAGCATCCCAAACAAAAGTAATTCCAAGTCAAATAATCTGTCTGTATCACCCTTCAGACACCTTCTACAGCATTGGGGATAGCTGGGGAAGGGGCGAAGACCACTGCCAGTTTGTGGATTCACACCTGGATGGAAGAACGGGACCTCAGTCATATGTTGAAGCCCTGCCCACCATCCGAGGTATGGCAATGAGGGAGTGGGATGCTGGCCAGGTGCCTGTCATCCCATCCATACTATTAAGGGGTAGGGAGTGGAGCACAGAATGGAGCTCTTTGTCCACAGCTGCTGATATCTCCATGAGGACTTGTGGGTGCTGAGAGAGAGAGAAAGAAAGAGAGGGACATATAATGCAAGTAATTTACAGGAACAAAATGCAAAACCAGAAATATAAAAATTGTATAGGTCTATGAAACCCTTCTCTTATTTATAAGACCTGCATCATTGAATTGAGGTGCAAAAACTCTTCCACATGCCACAAAGGACCAGCTACATCTTTGCAAATGGTTTCTGACCAGTTCATTCAATGCAAAACACATAACAGTATGTCTAGTGACTTAAAGTTGGACTGCAGGACTTTTATTCTGGCCTGGTAGATATCTCCCTCCAAGTGGAAATTCTCACCTAGGAGTTCCTCTGAGTAAACTGCTCAGCTTGTATGGCCAAGAGGATGATAGCTTGCTTCACAAAATGAACCCAGTCACAAAAGTCAGCCAATCTTTTCAGTAAGTCTATTGATATAAATTATTCAGCTGGCTTTAATGGTTTCCATGTTAAATTCTTTGTTGATATTCTTTTCATGGTGATGTTACCAGGAAGAAGCTGAAATAGTCACTGATATTTATATATCACTGGGAAGTACTGTATTTCTCAGTTCAAAAGAGGGGTGATTAATCCAGATGTGTATTACTAGGTCTAGGAGACAGAGATAGAGAGCACACAGAAATTATATTGTTGGCACAAGACATGAGTGTTTCAGATGTTCCAGTGCACGAGCTATGCAGAGAAGAATGCTGCACCTCTCCTAATGCTTTAAGCAGTCACATTCTTTCTGCAGATGAAGAAAAAGGGGAAAAAAGGGCTTAACTCCATATTTACTGCATGAAATGATACCTTTTTGTTTTGTGAAAAGCTGATGTTTGTTGATAGTCTCTTGAGCCCTACGAGATAAGGCGATTTGATGGTATTTTTTGCTCCAGAGTCCTTCATATATTTAAACTGACTTACAGACTTCATAAGCACAGCTGAAATATAGCCACCTTTTGGAGTGAAATGCAGAAGCTGTTTGGCAGACCACAGCATTACACAATAGCTCAAGATATTTTGAACAGTAAAACCAATCAAAACTACAGGAAATATAAAGGACCAGGGTTAAATCATTGAAGAAAGATCTAGACCAAATACCAGGGCTAGCAAATACCCATTTGACAAAACTCCCTACCGGACAGCTTCTAAGTTTTCATTAGGGCTGTGGGATTGACTCTCGGTGCATCTGTTACTTTTGTTAAATTACTGTGCCTTTGTTTTGAAATGCAAACGGGTGTTTTTTCTTCTGACAGGGTATTACCGCCAGTACCGCCAGGAGCCTGTATCATTTGGACGCATTGGACACACAACACCCTACTACTATGTGGGCTGGTATGAGTGTGGTGTGCCCATCCCAGGGAAATGGTAGCAGTCTGCCTTCCTGTCTTAGGCAGACCATGCTTTTCAAATTATTTCTACCAGCGGACTGTGAGCAACTGATTCAGAAAAGAAAGAAGAAAAAAAAAAAAAAAAAAAAAAAAAAAAAGAAGACCAGCTGCTCAAAAAACCCTTGTGAAGCCAAACATGGTCTCCCCTTTACCAGCCTAAATCTGTGGTGCTGCTTGATTTCTGCTGGGAAGCAGGGACAGGATAGAAGTTTGGTGTCCTACCTTCCTCCTCTGGGTCTTTAAGACCCAGAGAGGCAGTTGCAATGTGTGCAACCTGTGAAAACTAGAACTGTTATTAGCTATGAAAATTTGGAAGTTTCTTATATCTTGCAGGAACGACCTAAGCATGCTGTGCTTGCTTAATGGGATGCTAAACTGTCCTTTGCTGCCCACCAGGGCTACCCTATGCGATTGTGCCGTGTAACTGGCCACCCACCAAAGGCAATATATTCTCCTGAAGACTTACCCTGTGGGTTCGTCCAGTGCTGGACTAATCACCAGGTCACAGTGTAAATTCACTTTGAGATATATGTATATCTATATCTATATAAATACAGTACTGCACATCTGCAGAAGTACTGCTTAGAGATGCTGAGATTTTCTTGTTCACTAGATAAATATGTTTGGATTTTTTATGTAAAAGGTGCTGTTAATTCTTTGAGATATTGCTATGCACAATATATTAACCAAGGAAAGAACTGTATTCTTCTTGTCAGTACTGTTGATCTAACATTTGAATTACTGATCAAAAACCTGTGTCCCACTTCCTTGGCAGCCTTTGGACTGGATGTTCAGTGGTATCCACCCCTCTATCTGTGTTAGAGTGGCACTGTATAGTCCAGAAAAAACATACATTCAGCAGTTTATCAGGATCAGTTAAACTTCCTATCCTTTTCTATTTAAAAGTTTTGGTTCAACTTTTCTTCAATCCATCCTCACCTTATTTGTTATTTATTCCTTGTCAGTATCTTTTACTTTACTGTGCAGAGACATGGGATGAGTAACTTGCAAATTAGAAACTGCCTTTAATTTATTTGCCCTCCAAAAAGAAGCTCAAGCCGCCAATACAAGAGTCAACTAGCAGGAAACTCATGTGACTTTGATCCGTCCTGGGGACAAATTGGTATACACTTCCTTTAAAGTATTACTGAAATCTCTTCCATCCAGACCAGAAAGCAAAAGCTGACATGGATGAAAGGTATGATGATGTTTTTAGCAGGCATTTTGAAGCTTGCAGTAATGTAGGATTTTAGTAGTCCTTCTGGGCAATCTAGCATTAATGGTTTACCCAGTAACTGTCACAGTCTTACTGTTTCATGGTAACATCTCAGCAGCTTTTGCTCATGTTAGTAAGACTCCCCCATTTTGATAGCCTGGGAGAGTAGCAGCATACCTGGGGGACGGATCTGGTCTCTGGTCCATCTCTCACTCTCATTCCAGCTTACATGTAGTGTAGGTCTAATACCTTTTAATTTGCTTCCTGTAGTTATTGTAAATTGTATGGGGACAAAAAATGAACTAAAGTGATTAAAAGAGCATTTTATTTTTCATGGTGATTTGGGTTTTAACATTTTAATTGTTCTCACATGCTTTTGCTTCAGTACAGTGCCAAATATATGGCCTTGAAGTATAACTTTTTTCCCTAATAAACCTATGATACGTGGTTCAATTTCTCTTTCATCCTTTCTGGTCATCTGTGTGAAGTATCTGACAAAGTCACAAATTGTTAGCTTTCAAAAAGTCTTTCTTAGCAGAGGAGTTGGTGTCAACTTTTTCTAAGAAATTGGAAATATGTGAGTGTGTTGTTCCCTTTCAAAGGTGGTTAGCAGCTAGTGTGGAGTTACCAAGGGCAAATCACACCTGAACAGTCTAATCATACTCTTTGTTGAGATGACTGGCTCTGTGCACAAGGGGAGAAAAGTCGATGTCGTTGACTTCAGCTTTTGTAAGGTGCTTAGCATGGTCTCCCACTGTGTTTATACACAAACTGGTGGGATATGGCTTGGATAGTTGTTTAAGGTGGACATAAAATCAGTTGCGTCATGAGGCTCAAAGGGTCGTGGTCAAAAATAGTGCAAATTCCAAATGACAGGTGGCTACAAGTGTCACCCCAGGGGCCAGTACTGGGGCCGGTTCTGTCTAATGACCTGGACAATGGGATGGAGTGTGTGGATGGAGTGCACCGTCAACAAGCTTGTGGCTGATACTGAACTGGGGCTGGGGAGTGGTTGATGTGCTGAAGGGCAGAGCTGCTCATCAGAGGGACTTTTAGGGGCTGGAGAAATGAGATGTCAGAAACCTCATGCAGTTCAGCAAAGGGAAGTGAGAAGTCCCACACATGGGATGGAATAGCCCTTTGCAGCAATACAGGCTGGATGACTGTCTAGAGAGCAGCTTTGCAGGAGAGGACTTGGGAGTCCTTGTGAACAACAGTTTGAATGTGAGCACCCCAGAGATCCATTCCAACCTAAATTATTCAGTGACTGTTTATGATTCTAGAGGAGCCATCCAATAATAATTTTTTTTTCTTTTATTGAATCAAAGTCATGCCTTGGTCCAGAGCCCAGTCTTCAGCACTTGTGAGTGGGACTTGTGCCACTAACTCTAAAGAGCAAGGCCTGGTTTCACCAGTTATGGTTTGTCTTACTACTTAAAGATGGATGTTTCCTCCCCACAGCCAATGCTTTCTGCATTTTCACCTTCAGAGCCCACAGGTGGGTTTCGATTTGTTCATCTGCAGAGATGTGGTTTCTTTATTCTCTGCTGGAAATACCCTGGGGGTGGAACAGTCCCGTTCAGAAATGTCATCATGAGTGAAGAACTGAGGCCATCATTTTTTCTGCAGCCTCCTCTGGGGAGGAACTGTGGAGTGCTGGGGGCAGGGGTGGAGGGCATTGCACACTATTCCCCTCCAGTGTAAATATTCTCTGAGGCTAAACCAGCCAGGGCAGAGTCAGCAGTAGGACACCACAGGGAAACACATGAAATGCAAAGTTATGCAGTCTGTTCCCTTCACTTTGAGGTCTGGGTAAGTCTTCTGTGCTGTATGAGGTGATCTGATTGACACATTTCCATGCTTTGTCCCATGCACATTTTGTCCCATGTACATTTCATGATGGTAGTTTTTTGAAGAGATTATACAGAGATAAGAGATGAAGAGATATATTTTGCTCTTTGTTTATCTAAGAGGTGATATGATTAAAGGGGTGACTAAAGCCATGTGGGTCAGGAAAGCCACGTCTCATCCAGTTCCTCTCTCCAAGGCCCTGACTGTGCCCTGACCAAGGTGCCACCCTCTTTCCTTCCCACCCTTCCCTGCTGACCCCGTGACACACTGGTCCTGCTGTGCCACTGTAAGAGAAGCAGCATGCCCACTTGGAGGTAAACCCCGTCTCTATCAAAATAGCTGTACAGCTTTGTGACTGTGCTGTGTACCAGGGGACATCATACAGCTCTGGATAGTGCTAATGGGAGAGGGACAGGTCTTTTCCTCCATTAGCTTTCCACCCATGCCAACCTTACTGGCAAAGCTACATCTGCATCTGGTCTCCAAGCCCTTGGCATCATCTTTGGAGAATGTCATGTCCCTTCGGAGGCTCTGAGGGGTGATGCACCACCCCTGCAATCCACAGAGCTTGTGACTGCATCGCCTCTGGTACAAGTCTCTCTGGGCAGAGGGATGCCAGGGCCCTGCCTGGTGGGGAATTGTACAGAGCTGGAAAAGAAAGGGAGAAAAACACAACTGGGGAAGGGGTGGGGAGGAAAAGAAAGGCAAAGAAGTTGCTTGGAGCATTGTCTGGCCCTGGTCAGTTCCAGATGCTAATCTCTGATCACTGTACCATATTTTTGAGAGAACTGGGATTTCTGCCTCAAAGGCAGCAGGAACAATCACCACCATGTGAGAAATGCCAAGGGCTCTCGGGGGCAGCCAAAGCTCAGCATGTGGACCCAGGATGTGAGCAGAAGAGCTCTTTGGTGATGAAGGAAGCATTGGGCGTTGCTTGGAATGATAATTGAAGGCCTTTGCGGGAGGTAACCCAACTCACTGAACAATGTGAAATGCTCCTTGTGGTTCCTCCCTACAAGAAACTATACGGTTTTCTGTCCCCAAAATCCATGTCCTTTTTTCTCACCAGGCAGCTCTTCATGTGAAGAGCTGCCTTCCTCTGGCAGAAGAGAATGAGGTAAATGCAGAAGGGAATGAGGTCAACACTGCAGCAGCCCAGCTCTACTTCCCAAGGCAAAGCTGACATCCATGGATGTCTAAAAAAACCCACCCTTGGAGAGCTGCCAGTCTGCCTGAGGGCCCTTAGCTGGTAACATTTGAAAACAAAGCCATGCCTTGTACTGCTGCTCCCTTTCTCATCGTGCTTTTGTGTCCCATAAAGCAGGAAGCACTCCTGCAGGACTTGTGCCACATCACTGTGCCAGCTTGCACAACAGTCAGCCAAATGTATGGTGCTGATGGGAATGAGCATCCGGAGCAGAATAATGCCAGAATTGTAGCTAAGTGCGATAATCATGATGTCAATATTGGGAAGTCAAGTGTCAAAGGCAGCAGCCCAAGGGCCAGGTCCTCGGGTGCTAACAGTTACCACAACTCCTCAGTGCCAGTTGTGTCACCCAGGTCCAAACACAACCTGACCAGCAGAAGAGCTGAGGGAACTTCCACATGGCACATGCTGAGGAAGCATGTACTTGTGACAATGAAGGTCAGCCACAGACTGAGCTACATTAGCAAGGACACAGTGACGTACTTCTCTCTTCAGCACAGGTGAGCATGCATGTAGAGTGCCCTCCAGTACAAGGCATACTGGAGTAGATCAAAGAGAGGATGACCACAATGGTTAGGGGACTGGTGCACAAGATGTACAAGGAGAGGCCAATCACTGGGTTTGTTAGCCTCAGGAAGGGAAGGCTTCACTTGTGGATCTAATAGATCTTCAACAGCCTAATGGGATCGTAAAAAAGATGGAACCACAATTTTCTGAGAGATATACAGTGAAAGGATGAAGGGCAATGGACACAAACTGCAACATGGGAAATTCCAGTGAAGCATTAG